AAAATATTTTATTCCACCCCCCCCCCCCTCCCACTAGCACGTATAAAAGTTGCATCAGTATGGCGTCGATGTTTAGCCGAAATGGTTGATTTTATTCTTTTACATGCATTCAAGTAAATATATTTATCTATTAGAATTCCAATTTTAATTTATATTTATTTTTTAATAAGAATTCTTATCGTTACTTTTCTCTCAAATTATCTACATTTATTGGATCCAAATCGGCTTACGCTTAATAGTTTAATTTCAAATTTAATCTACGATGAAGCTGTAGTATTTCCAACGGAACTCTTTTGTATAGAAATTATATATCTGATAATAAGTGTTATTTTTGAAGTTCGTTCTTTGGAAATATCTTTATTTTGATAATCAAAGTTTCTGTTATTTTTAGAGCGCTTGTCTTACATACTATGGTGCAACACCAGGTAAACGTCTACTTCGGTTACGTGTTCTTAAATTTGACCAGCTTCAAATAAATGACGATGGTGATATTACTATTGAATCTGGAACAGTACTTGATAGTATAGCGTAAGTTATAAAGCCTGATATTATTTTTTGCCTGAACTATTTTGCATTTTAGAGCATTAACGCGTTCATCAATGAAAACTCTCATGGCAACATTTTTGTTTCCAGCTGTTCTTGTTGCTTTATTAACATCTCAAAATCGACAAACAAATTATGACATGGCTGCTAATAGTCTTGTAGTTGAACTCGAACATCGAGTGGAATTACATTGAACGTCCTTCTGTCTTTTTCTCGTTGATAAAACAATCTAATTTTTATTGTAAATTATAAAACACTTGAATAAAACTCACTAACATCTCTATTAGTTTTCCTTTACTGATCTATCGAAGTTATTATTTTTTTTGTGATTTAAGATGACAAATAATAGTGCTGCAGTTGATATTCAATTATCAAATTTAGAAAACAATCAACATGAAAGTGACAGTGATGATAGCGAATTGGATGAACCACAGCCAGTACCAATCGTCGAAGAACAAATCGATCCAGTGAGTTATTTATATGTAGATATTATTTCTTGTATGATCTTAATTCGAGAACTGTCTAAGAGGTTTCTCAATTTTTGCATAACCTTAAAATCGAGTATTCATAGGACAAGCTGGTAACGTGATGAAAATATAAAATATTAATGATTCGTACATATTGTAAAACAAAGCATTTTGTAACATATGCTTCAGTTTGACACTTCGAAAGATTTAAATGGTCTACCCCCGATTCGTCCCATTTAAAAATATCCTAACTGGTCCCATACAAAAAAAAGTCGATTCCAAATTCGTCCCATTCTTTATACGACCCTTACTAGCTTATCAATCAGGACATAAAAGAGCATGAAGGAGGGTGACATTTTACTGAAATATAAAATAATGTGGTGCATCCTAAGGAATAAATACGTTATATGGAAGATAATCTTTCTTCATGGCTTGATAGTATAGCACCTCTTTCTTTCTTTTAACATGTCCCGGTTTACAATTTTCAATATGCCATTAAGCGAGTAAATACAACTTGCGTAGAGTGGAGATGTCGAAACAGAGATTGTTCTAACACATTATCTTTGTCACTGAATCATACATGTGTTCGTCGTTTAAAAGCCGATCACGAATTTCAGCATCATAAAACAGAAGAATCTCAAGTTCAAGTTAAAGACCGAAAATTATTATATGATAAAATTGATGAAACGCTTCTTCAATTGACCAATGAATATGACATAGGCCAATTAACTCCAACAGATTTGGCTTAATTATGTTAGGCAAAGCAGTCAAAGTTAATAAAACAAAGAAATAAAGTTTTTTATCTGTAGTTTTCTCTATAAATGTTCTCAATTTTTTCTTCTTATTGTGTGAAACTTGTTAAAGAAGACATTTATCAATGGATGCTCTTTTGTGTCTTAATTGATAAGCTAATAAGGGCCGTATAAAGAATGGGACGAATCAGGGGGGCACCATTTAAATTGTTGAAAAGTATTTCTTTTGATAATAAGTTTGACAAGAAAATATTCAGATTACTGACACATTTGTGTTCTACAGAGCCAACTTCAATGGCTTCCATGGATATGGTACTACACAAAAAAATCAGCAAAAAAAGGCTACGAAGTATGTGATACAACTGGCGAGAAATTAGCTTGGTTTTTTGGTATAACAAAACCAAAATATTATTCTGAAATTCAAGAATATGAACGTATGGATGAAGAAGTAAGGTCAATTTTGAATACCAATAGTTCTCTATATAATCGCGTCTTGATCTAATAGGAACGAGAAGCATGGCGACACGCATTTCACGATATTGAACAAACCAGTCAAATACTGGATTCCATCGTAAGTGACAAAAGAAGGAAAGAAAAAAGAGCTCAATTCTCTAGATATCACAAAATCGTACTTGATATATTTTAGAAATAAATAAGTAGGTTGGGTTGCTTTCTAGACTCTTAACATTTTCACTTATCGAAAAATTTAACTTTCGCACGAATTATGACATTTAATAAATCAAATGCTTAATATGATTAAAACTTTCTGACTCGCTTTGCGTTTTCTCCTAACAGGTTACGGTTCCACCTCAAATCCCAACTGCATTCACTATTTCTCATAATGAGAACGCAAGCCATTGATTGATTTTGCAATAACTAAACTGTTTTATATGTTATTTTAAATTTCCATTTTTTGTTTTATTAATAAAAAGCTTGTAACAAAAAAAAACAATCATGCCGATAGGAAACATAATCGTAAAGTCTGACTATCACGATATATTTATTCACTGTATCAGATAATATTAAAATTTTAACCGAGATTATCAAAAGTAAAGATCAAACCTATATCCATTGGATATAAAATAGTATGATGATTGACTCGTAGCCGTATAATAATTATTCTTCTGATCATTTGATTCATTTTTATTAGGAATTTATTCAATCAACGGAGACTTTATTTTCGATTTTTCTACATAAAAACAAAAACAGTTCGATACATTAATAAAACTACGAACAGAGTTCGTTAAATGATGACAGTGAATTACTTTTATTCGATAGAGTTGAACTTGAGCTTATAATTGGGGATTCAATGTAAGATAATGATTGTTCAATTAAAGAAAATAAACGGTTACTTGTTGGTGATATCATAAATGGTGTTAATTCATCAAGAATTAAATATTGTTGAAGACTTTTCGGTAAAATCGAACTGAATTCAATCCGTCGATCAATCGATGATTTAATAGATTGACGAATTTTTCGACGACACAAAGCTAGAAGACGAATTGGTGCTCGATGACATAATGATAGAATTCTTTTGATGACTTCTCGGCGTTGTTTAAATAAATATATTCGTTGATTGTCCAGTAAATATTTCAGCATTTCAACATATAAACTAAATAAAAAACAAATATACTTCGAGGACTGTGACTTCAAAGTATCCTGTTTTTTAGTTGTGGATTCAAAAAGTTAATAAGGGGCGACCGTTTGCCGGAGATGCGGTACTCGTGTTAAAAAAAATGATTTTTGAAACCTTTCCGAGACAATTTTACTTCGTCTATTTCTATTTCTGTTGACGAAAAATCAGAAAAGCATTTCGCAATGGAATGGTGATCACTTGCTCTAGGAAACTTCGAGTACTTTATAAATTTTAGCAAGTAGTATTTCAAATAATAATACCTTCTCTTCCATACCGCTTACTAGAGAATCTGTCGAAGGAATCAAAATCTTTTGAGACAATTCCGCAATGATTAACACAGAGTCATGTGACTGAGTTTTGTTCGTCTAATATTGAGTATATCATCATAAGTTCAATTTCGCCATAATTAAAAAAAACGAATATTATTAGAGTTTTTGTCTAATTTTTTATCACTAACTCGAGTTTTGTTATAGAAGAACGATACTCAATGTCTAACACTTTCTCACCTGTTACCATCCATTTCAATAAATGCACAATAGAGTAATAGAAAAAATCGATTTATTGTTTCTTTATCTTTAATAATTCTTTGTAGATAAAAAATAATTAATTGTTGATAATTTTCTATATACATTCGCTGAATAAAATAAATGATATTATCAATATAGTAATTAAATACAAATATATTTTGTGCTAAGATAAGATTTCCGTATGTTATATTACATGGCCAATGAGTTTCTTCATAGGTTTTCCATGCAATATTTTCTAAATCATATCGATTTTTAATTCGACAATAAAATATAAAATCAAATAAAGGAAATAAATATGGAATATTGGGCGCATAACCAATAATAGCTTTCTTAAGTTCAATTTCATTCGATTGAAATTGATCAAGTAAAAGTTCAACAATATTCAAACGTTCTTGATAGATATCTTCTTCGTATGGATTCGAATAAGATAAACAACCAAGTGCATAGCGTAGCGGTGAATAACCAAGGAGATTTTCAAATTCATAATTTGCATTATGCTGCAGTAAAATTTTAACAATAGAAGGTAAACCACGATAGATAGAGTAGAATAGCGGTGTTAAACCGGACATATCAACATGATTTGTATTAGCTCCTTTAGTAATCAATAAACGAATAAGATCTTCTTCGTTTGATTCTGATAATGAAGTTCGATATTCAATCGCATAGATCAACGGTGTTTTACCGAATCCTATAAAAGATAATTTTTTTGTTTTGCTGAAAAGTTAACTTTCTCGAAAATTCTCTTTCGTACGATCAGTTAGATCTAAATTTGCATTGTAATTACATAATATATCAATGAAAACGTCATCAGCCCATCCACATGCTCGGTGAAAATCTGATGCCAACATTGAACCTGTACGTCGATTAATATCAACATTTAATTCAAGTAATGCAAATACTGTATCTAAATGTCCACCGATATAAGCTAACCACAATGGCGTATTACCATGCTCATCGGAATCGTTAAGATCAGCACCTTCACGACTCATTTGTTCAACATCATTCGTACGACCGTCAGCACAGGCTTCTTGCATATTACGTGACATAAATGTCCATGGTAATAGATCCATATCTGTTTCGTAGATAAGTTTCATTTGAAATAAGATGATCGATTTATCGTTATCGAGAAAAAAGTAAACATAAAGATGAGATGATGAACATATAAAAAATAAATGTATGATAGGGAAAGTTAACAAGAAGGATGTTGATAATGGAAGTTAAGGATGGGAATTGGGAAGAAGATTCTTTTTGTTCACGTGTTTAACTCACTCCTTCCAGGGGAAAAATTGGAAGATAGAAATATCTTCATCTACCGCCTTGTTGTTGTTGTTTTTTTTTAAATATTTTGTAACTATGACAGTCGAAATGATGATTCAATAATTTGTGAAGTATGTAAATGTTAAAAGTTGAAGCTACAGAAAAAATATTGATTTGAAATGGCGACAAGCGTCGAAACTCAAATCAAACTTAATTCGAAATTGGGAAGAATTCTGATAGTATCAAATTTTAAATTTAACTGAAACTATTTGATTGTTCAATAGAATCTCATGGTACGTTTTCATATTATTTTGATAATTGAGTTTTCAGCTGAGCAAATTGTACTTGATCAAACTAATTCATTGAAAAGTATTTACACTAGTCGTAGATGTCAATGTTCATATCGAAGAAAAATATCATACAAATTAATCTGATTGAGAATGGAGTCTATTCTAATATGATTTATTTCTTCACGAGGTTCCCTGTTGAGTAAAACTACTGAATTTAGATGTCTATCTGTTAGTTTAAAATGACATTATTTCAACTGAATGAAGACAATAAGAACCATTGATAATTCTATTTTATTTCCGCTCTATTTCAACCGGCATGATACCGACACACTTATTCCTACTAGATAGTTACGTCCACTTCAACCGTCGTCGTCGTCGTCGTCGTCGTCTTTTCTTTTAGGATGCATCAATCAAGTTCACTGAAGAAAATCAACGACGCCAATACGTACATCATCTCATGTCTTCCGCTTGATTTCTATTGATATCCAACTGTGTCTAGATTACATTCGTTATATAGAGACAATCATAAATAATTACTCAGATAGATGCGAAATTAATTTTTATTTAAATTTACAAAAGCCATATTTTTATATTTTTCATAGTCATTTGTCTACTTTCATCTTTTGTATATTGGACAAAAGATTGTGAATTCGTTGTGAATTGTAATCGACGTTGAGAAATAACAACGGGTAGTTTTCGTTTAACGCTTGATGATGCATTCGGTTGACGGCGGGACTGCTTTGGTGTACTACAACAAATCGGTGGAGTTAATAATGGTCGTTGATTTCTCATAAACGAATCTAAAAGTAAAGATTTGTTTCATTTTTACATTTTTAATTATATGAGATAATTACGTGGAGAATCACTGTTGAATGAACGTGATTGTTCAATCTCGTATGGTGTGGATGTAGCAAGTGGTCGAAACGATGTATTATTTCGATGTTTGAAACGACTGCTAGCATTCAAATGTTCTAATACGAAGAATGTCGGTTCTTGTTGTGTAGAGAATATTTTTGATTGATGAGAATAACGTCGTTTCGTTATTATATGTTTTCCCATAGTTAAACTCTACGGAAAAACAGAGAAAAACCATTGTTCAAACTAATATTTTAGAATAATAAAAATCGATGATGTCATCCACGCGTGTATTTCACACTTGGGATAATTAATGATGTAATCTTGGTAATGGGTGTTTTCATTTTTTTTCGTATTGCAATATTGTCTTAATCCATTAGCCAATTAAAATATTGGGCATGATCGTAGCATTAAAAAATAAGGATGTCTCGAGGATATGTCCAATTAACGAAGAACTCCATAGATGAAAACTACCTACCTGATTTCGAAAGAATTTCTCAATCTTTAGTTTTGATGAACAATTCAGAATTTCGTGGGTTTCTTAAATTCTTGGTTTACTCAAGATATGATTTGAATCTAAGTAAAATTATTAATACTAACTTGTGGTGAAATTTTTCGACTAGTGCGTGGTGGATTAGCTGCATTTGGCTTCTTATCCATCGGAATTGAAAAGTGTTGCAAATGATTATAGATTGATAAACAGATATAATGGCTACAGACAATATCATTTTCTTTTCTCTTATTCTCCCTCTCTGTTTTTCCCTCTTGTTTTCTCTGCGCCATGTTCAATTGGTGCAAAAAATATTCTAATGACGAATGATTCGTCAATTAAGAGAGAAGAAAAGAAATGATTAACTTTGATCATAAATTATCAATAAATCAAAATTTGTCAAAGATACGCTTGTCTTCGATTTAACCAAAAGATTACTTTTTCGAAAGCTTGAACAGACCAGAACGTGATGAAAACTTGTTTTTTGTTATAATAGAAGAGTTCAAAAGTAAAATATTTCGATTTATAACAAAAAATGAGAGATCTGGATGTGTAAATGTTGTTAAACAACCTGTTGATTTAGTTTTATTGATTTTACAATTTAATCAAAAAAGGCGGATGATTGAATGTTTTTTTTTTATTTAGAAACACTACTTTTTAGATGATCAATTAGTTGAACATAGAAAAATTAGAATGTATATAACGATGCGCTTTTTATCATCAATCTGTGTGTGAAAAAGAAAAGAATAATAGGCATGTTATTGATTACTTCAGAAAGTTGATTTCAATGTTAGAAAAAAAAAACGAAAAAACAACAGTATCGACCTTCTTTGATGAAATAAATGGATTAAAATAAAAAGTTCTTCCAACGTGGTAAAAGGGGAAAGTTTGTATTTATGAACACGTCATGAGGGTCGCATTCGTTTCGAATGTTTTTGACTTTAAGTATAAATAACTTGAGCAATTAATGTACGAATTCTAAACCCATAACATTATCCAACTCTCTCAATTAAATGATTATAGCCCATCATATTACTCTATAGACATTCTTTTTCGTATGCAAGTTACGTAAGTGTTTTATCAAGTTTAATTGAAGAACACGATTGTTTTTATGGCGATATTGGTTCGTGTATTGTTGAAGAGGTTAATAGTTAGAATGGAAGTTGCATTAAGATTTTTCTTTTACATTACTAAGCAAAACTATAATCATCTGTAAACAGTTGGCTCCGAATGTTAGTTGTTTTCAATCTTTTTATTAGTCTTGAGTATAACTATTTCAAACATTATCTTACCAAATGATCTATCTTGAAGCATGAGCTATTCAATACATGATTTCAAGAGAAATCTTTGGCCAATCAATTGTTGACCTACAAAAAGATGCGTTATCTGTAGAACGAGAAGTCTTCGATATTCGAATAGTCCCAATTGGATCTTTGTTTAAGAGATTAGTTAAGGTTTATTAAATTTTCGCGGAAAATTATTGTCGCAAACTGTTGAAATAGACTTTGCTCACAATGGTTAAGTTCTGTGGCGGCTTCAGTTTATTATATCAAACGTACCTAAAAAACAACAGCAACAAGAACTTTTTATTGGTTCTAAAGACTTGAACCAACAGCTTTAAAACACTGGACTATCTATTTTTTTAACGGTAGTCTTTATTAAGTATGAGAAATTGGCATGCATCTAGATGCTGTTTGTTGAATATCTTACTGATATATAAAAAAAATTAAATAAAAAAAATTCTGTTTTACTTCAATTCATCTTCCGCATAGAATTTGACAAAGACTCGAATTAATTATTTTGGGTAAAGTAGTGCAGTTAGAAATTTCCAAACTACTTTTAAATTGACTTAACTTTCTAGTGTTGAAAGAAGTGCATAAATGCGAGTCAAGCTATCTTATTTAACATCAGAAGCATCTATAAAAACATGATAAATATCCTTTTGTTTTAGCAAACTTCTCGTCGGACTTCAAGAACTAATTAATACTTAACTTTTTTTTATTGTCTTTTTCAAAATGATTGGAAATAGTTATCAGAGAGTTCAATAATTCTGATGCTTCCTGGAATTGGATTGTTCGAAATTGAATTTTTACTGGGAATACATCATAGGATGGATAATGTTGTGCAATAATTTAACGCTTACATATCTTTTCCATGGATCACATATTTATTGTACAAAAGTGAATGTCACTATTCTAATCAAAATACATGTAAGAAATAGCAACTTAATTAACGTGATGAATTTTTTAAAATGTAAGTATGAAGTATTTATCGTTGAAAATACGAAGAATAAAGCTTTAAGCAGCTGATACTAAAAGAAAAGATAAATAATAAGAACTTCCTATCGTTAATACAATTTTTAGCTTGTGATGTCATTGGAAAGTTTTCTAGCTATTGAATATATATCTTCAGAATTATTTATTACTAATTGCAAAGACAGATGAAGACAACTTTCTCTTATATTTTTCATGAAAAACTTAAGATATGTTTACAACTTATACTTATCTTTATCATGTCAATCAGTTCAGTGAAATATATTTCATTTGGCAATTATACAAAACAAAATTGATCTTGCATGAATGATAAATCCACCATTTGATTCATAGTGATTGCCTTTCAATGTAATTTAGATTCAGGTTATGTTTTAATCGGTGGTGACAGAATTTAATCTAACTTTTCTCTTCTTCTGATGACCACTGTTGATAATGCCGAACTTTGTTTTCGTGGCCGTCCGCGGTGGCGTGCAAAATTGTACGATGCTTTCTTTGAAAGCTTTGTTAGCTTTGACGGACAACTAATTAAAAGCGAAGTTATAACATCATAGAGCATTTATTCATTGGGATTGATGACAAGAGGTTATTCGTGTCTAGTTCCTTCCAATGAAAGTAGCCAACCTTTTCAACAGCGTAGAGCTGTGCATTACGCACTATTTCACATGAGATACCTAATTCCAATTCACATAATTATAAATGAAGCTTGATTTGTGTCATAATACCACGTTGGTAAAGTTACCACCGGATTCGAATATTTGCAGCCCGGATTCGCTTCACATTCTGTGTTAGTTCTAAAACCGCTTGTGTTGGGTGTATAATTTAATTCTCTATCGATTGCCACTTTCCAAAATAGGGCTTGTAGATCAAAAATGAGGATTTTTATCCGAAATATTGGGTTTCAGACAGGTTTTCTGCAGTATACGTAGTACGGATTCATTGCTGAACGTGTGTTGGATCTCTAATCAATTGCGTCACATACAGAATTTTGAGCTCTACCTAATGGTACCGATCACAGTAAGAGTCGACTATCAAAACTGACGGTACAGGCTAAAACACTGGGCCTCGAATAGGTTTTTCGGAGTATTTCCTGTCCTAATCCGTTACTATACTTTTGTTGGGTCTCTCATCTACTTGATTGGAAGTAGAATGTAAGGCACTATCCAACACATATCTTAGTAGTGAGATGCCGTGCTTCTATCAGTCACAAATGTAACAAAAGTGCTTGGTTTTTCGATTATTTGCATCACGATTCACCCAGTAGATGTTTTGAATTAAACAAAACATGTTTCCGATTGTTCTGGAGACACGTTTTTCAAAGAAATCATCTCTGTCTGGAGAAAGTTGCTAATTTTTGACATATTTTTATTTTTCAAATCTTCTTCGGAAACACTTCATTACAAAGAGAAAAGGTGTGTTTTGAAATCTTTATGCTATTTCCGTACGCAACGCAGCATTTGCAGCTCGAAATTACGTGTCATGCACAAATTAGTCATTCCTAGATGTACAATATTTAAGTAAAATCAGTTACTTGTCCTCTTTTTCGTTCAATCAGTGCAAGAGAACGAAAGAGGGTGTGAGTTTTGGTGCGGTTCACTTGGTCCACATTAAGATCTCGCCCACACCCACACCCAATTCTCGATTATGACTGATTGTAATCAATTTCTAATCAATTAGTAATCGATTTTTAATTGACTCTGAATCTATTTTATTTAGCTACAGTCGGTTATAGTCGATGTAACAACTGTTTCCTAATACTACCGATTACAACAAATTTCGGTTGATTTTTATCTGTTTTTAATCAATCACAATGGTAAAATTATTTTACAATTGCAACTGTAATAACATTGCCTTCTTGCTAACATAATTGATGCTTCTTTCGTCGCTTCGATTCTCTTTTTCTCTGCTTTATAAGTTTATACTGTGTATTTTATAGATATGCGCTATGGTGATATAAAGTCGCTTAATAAATAACATAACCGAGAGTTACAATAACGGCAATGTTTCAATCTTTTTGTGCGTGTGGTTGTGAGTATAGAGGAACGTGGAGTCTTTGTAGAACTACATTCCCTGATCTCTTCAAAAAATTGTTCCCGACAACATGTAATTTTTAGACGATTGATGATGCGTATAGGTGAATCACTGAAAGTGATATTAATGTTCAAGTCGGCTATGATGATATCCTGAATAACTATAACAAATCAGAAATGATTCACAAAACCACGTTCGATAAAACTAGACTCGTGGATTATAGATTGATTTCATAATAAAGAGATTTTTCAAAATTTCAAAATGATTTTGTCAGTTGAAAAACTACGTTCAAAAAGCAAGACTTTGATATTGAATAGTCTAAGATAATTTGGAAAATAAATTTCGTTTATTTCTTGTTTATGACGATTAAATATTCAATCAGTATCTCAAAGTTTGTGTAGCTTATCACAACCAACCAAAAGATTCTCAATAAAAAAAAAACTTCCTATTGGCTCTTATCGGCCATTGACGTGTGTTTGTCGCCAGTTACCAGCGACGATCTCGAAAACCCGACTTGGGTGCTAGAAATAAATAGTACTAAATTTTTTTCCCTCTTGATTACTTCAAATGACCACAGTGAGAATCTTCGGAAGTGTCCCACTGCAAAGTGCATATGCTGCTATTGATTCGATGAATCATCAGGCTGTGATCACATACTAGTATATATATATGAGACTTTTAGAAAGCTAGTCGATATGTTCATTAATAATGAATATATCTTTGTTATGTTTCAATATTCAACACAACGGTAGATGCATTAGGTTATGGAATTCTTAACTGATTAAAAATCGATTATGATATCTTTTATTTTCTATGCTGATTAACTATTTTCTTTAAAATATTTATACAGAGCATCTTTAATTATCAAACACAATATGATGATGACATTAGCTTTTGTTGTTAGCACCGAAAACGAGCACTCATTCATTAAAGCAAGATATTGGTTAACTTCAAATATTAATTTTCAATGCTTTTCGAACGTCATTGGTTTATACATAACGGTTTTTATGGAATTCAAATTATTATTTGTCATTATGAAGATTTCCTTTGGTCCTGTGGATACAATCAAATCGACAATATTTTTAATAGCAAGTTATTCACAACCTCCTAAATTCAAGGGTTATTCGTTGTTAAAAGATTCATAAACAGAGAGCCCAGTTGTTTGTATCGACACATAGCTGATTCGCTATTAATAGTTGTTTTTACAATGCTGATAAATGATTTCATTTAGAAATTCATTACGACGTGTTGGTTATAAATCAATACGGTTATGTTTCTTATTCCGGAGTAATATATGTATTGATTTTTCGAATGTATGTGTATTTATAAAATGTCTTACTTTGATTTTACGAAACTAACCATATGTTTTTACAAAAGTCGGTGGTAACCCTCTTAAGAATTACCTCCACATGTTAGATGCATGATTTTTTTGTCAAACAACAGAAACAAATCAAAATCCTTTCTGTGAGTTCATCAGTAGTATGAAAGGACTCTAAACCATAGGCGGCTGATTTATATGAATTTTACTTTGAAGTATGTTGCTGTATGGTATAAAATAGTTCAAACACAATCAGTAAAACTTATTTGTAAACGAAACTTAGCGAAAAAATACTTTAAGAATCTTATTTTTTGTTAATATTTATTAGAAGAATTGTCATCGATTGATAAAGGTGAAAGACCATCACAGTCGAAGACTGACTTTAATAGACAATTGTATAACGAATATTTGTTAAATGAATTGTCAGATAATTCATGAAAACTATAATGAACGTGGGGCATAGGCATGTTTTTAAATCAAATTCTTTGCCCTTTGCTTATATTAAGGATCGATATATACGTCTTATTTTCAGGATTTGACATAAATGGCTTTCCTATTGAAATGCATCATTAAAAATTTTATCTACTTTTTAGATAAATAATATCACTTTTTAAATTCAAATCACTTTTTGTTTTATCCACGATAAAATTATGCTGCGTATAAAAAATAATACACACTTGATCTATCGATTTCAGCGTCTATTGTCTTGCCAAGAACCAAAGAAAAATTTGTCCATGTCTTCCTCTACAAAATTAAACTCCACACTGAAAACGCTTATCGATTCAAAACAATACGAAGAAGCTTTAAAACATTTCGATCAACAACCAGGTCTACACACAGATTTCAGTATTGACATGGCAATAAAAGCTTGCACTATGTTACATGATTACAAACGTGGCATTAATATTCTACAAAAACTTTCATCAAATTCACTTAGTAATCATTATATTCAAATATCATTAATCCGCTTTTATAGTAAGGATATATTTTCACGACTGAAAACCTCGAATATCTTTACATCAGAACGCTATGAGGAGACCAAACAGTGTAATATCCCCCCATACGAGTGGTTGTTCGCTTCCGTTTAACAAACTACTGTTGTCATATGGAGTGGATACCTTTTAACTCTGCGAATCCTAATCAAATCAACCGATTACGTGTCGCATTTATATACTTGAGACAATTGAACTATCTGTGTTAGTCTCCGAATACATAGCGATCTCAATTATATAATGAATTCTTTGTCACGGACGGCGTTCAAACTATTCTGAACGCTAAAATATATTCTAAAACGAATCTTCTTTGCATTGCTTTAAATTCTTTAAATGAATAAATCTGGTTCTGATAGAGCATATTTCCAGAAAAAGCATTTACCATTAGAATTGAAAGTCACTGACGGTATCGCTGGTAGTGTGAGTAAACAACTGTGTTGGAATTCCTTCTATTAAACTAGAATCATGTAAACACTTTGATCAGCTAACATATTAGATTATTCCACAAAATGTTCTTTTCTATATTTTAATGTTTCATTGAGTATACTAAGACCTGCTAAGCATAAAATCTTACTCATAGTCAAGTATATGGGTAATATTTCGAAGGCCTGTATGAGTTCGATTGCATGTAATCCTTTATAAAATGATCTTTATCCGAATTGTTCAGATAGGATATTTCGATTTAGCCATTAACAATATCTTATTCTGAATGAGTCATCTTGACAAAAATTATTCGGACTCACATCGATTGGACTGAATAACTAAACACCGGCTATAGAAAAAAAAACATTTTGTCCCTAGTTCATGCTGAGAAATCGAGAAAAACGTACAGGATCATTTTATTTCAAATGAAACAACTTCACCATAAATGATCAGAAACGCTAATCTTTGAATAATTGTGTATCACAATGTTGTTCTTTTATTACATTTTTAGTGGAATGTCGCGATGTCGATAACGCATATCGCGCGTTCGCTTCAATTACAAATAAATCTAATTATAGCTACACAGCTATGTTCAAGGGTAAACTGCGCTTATAATTGTGTCCTTCTTGACTATTTTTCATTGATAGGTCTTCGATCCAATGGCATGCCCGAGAAAATAATTGATTTACTTGAAGAAATGAAGATTGAACCTAATAATTTTACTCTCACTCTTTCATTTTACGCGTGTGCTCAAGTTGCCAACGCACGAGCCATGAGAATTGGACAAAAACTTATTCATAAATTGCTTAACAATAGTCGAAATGAGGATATTGTATTAAATGCAGCAACAAATATGTTAATAAAGTTTGGTGATATCGTAAACGCTGAACGATTCTATAAATCAGTGAAGAATAAAAATATTATTATGTATTGTGCAATAATGAAGGGTAATAGTTGTTTCAAATCTGTGCAAATAACGATAGTTTTGTTTTAGGATATATTGAAAAGAAAATGTTTGAACAAGCATTGGATTTATTCGAACACGTAAATTTAGTAAAAAGTGATGCTATGTATACAATGGCTTTCAATGTATGTGGTAAACTTGGAAATGATCGAGCTATCAAGATTGGAAATAAGCTTCTGGACGAATTGTCAGACAATCGTAAAAGTAGTACTGCTAATTTGACTTCAGCAATGCATATGTTAATGAAATTCGGTAATATTCAAAATGCTGAACGTGTTTTTGAATTAATTCAAAAGAAAGATGTGATTGCATATGGAGCAATGATAAAAGGTAATCCATTAAAGGCAACTTTGTGTTTATTTTTGTACTTAACCTAGGATACGTTGACAATGAAATGTTCGAAAAAGCATTGGATTTATTCGAACACATGAATTGTGACCTAGATCATGCTATGTATACCATGGCTTTCAGTGCTTGTGCTAAGCTTGGAAATGATAGAGCTATCAAGATTGGGAATAAGCTTTTTGATGACTTACCCGACAACTGTAAAAGTAGTACTGCCACTTTAAATTCAGCTCTTCATATGTTGATGAAATTCGGCAATATTCAAAATGCTGAACGTGTTTTTAAATTAATTCCGCAAAAAAGTGTGATTACATATGGAGCAATGATGAAAGGTAATCCAATTCAGGCAACTTTGTGTTTATTTTTGTACCTAACTTAGGATACGTTGAGAATGAGATGTTCGAAAAAGCATTGGACTTATTTGAAGAAATGAGTTTAGTAAAAAATGATGCTCTGTATACAACGGCTTTCAATGTATGTGCTAAGCTTGCAAATGATCGAGCTATGAAGATTGGAAATAAGCTTCTTGATGAACTGCCAGACAATTGTAAAAACAATACAGCTATTTTAACTTCTGCAATCCATATGTTGATGAAATTCGGTAATACTCACAATGCTGAACGTGTTTTTGAATTAATTCAAAAGAAAGATGTGATTACGTATGGAGCAATGCTAAAAGGTAATCCATTTAAGGCAACTTTGTGTTTATTTTTGTACTTAACCTAGGATACGTTGACAATGACATGTTCGAAAAGGCATTGGATTTATTTGAACAGATGAATTTAGTAACAAATGATGCTATTTGCACGATTATTTTCAATGTATGTGCTAAGCTTGCAAATGATCGAGCTATGAAGATTGGAAATAAGCTTCTGGACGAATTGTCAGACAATCGTAAAAGTAATACTGCTAATTTGACATCAGCTATGCATATGTTGATGAAATTTGGTGATATACAAAATGCTGAACGCGTCTTTAAAATAATTGAAAAGAAAGACTTGATTACATATGGAGCATTAATGAATGGATACAATATGAATGATCAATCAGAGAAGTGTTTCAAAGTTTTCGAAGAAATGAAACATCATAATATTGTTCCAGATGAGAGTACATGGACCATTCTTATAGGTACATATTCACAGATTGCTATGATTCGACAATGTAAATATCTGGTTAATCAAATTCCACCGCATATCTTGAATAAGCAACAAATACAGAACGCTTTAATTGACATGTGGGTGAGTATTTAGCGCTGAGTTTCAAGGGGAAATCGATTATTCCATACACGAATTCGTCTTATTTTTGTCTAGGGAAAATGTGGTGCAGTGGAAGCAGCAAAACAAATATTTAATACAGTTTCTGAACCTGACACATTTACCTACAGTTCAATGAGTAAATATGCTGTCTGTTGTTCTACGTTTCGCTTTAATGTTGGCTTGTTTTCGTTTTATAGTTAATGCACTTGGACTTAATGGAATGGGCTGTGAAGCTTTAAATGTTTATAAACAAATGCCACATAATCTGCGTAATGAAATTGCAGAAATTTCTGTCTTAAATGCTTGTTCTCATTCTGGTCTTCTTCGTGAAGCGCAAGCTATTTTCAATGAAATTTCTGTTAAAACAGAAAAAATCACAGGAGCTATGGTAAGTTGTCCCGTAATCTGGAGTCAGTTTCTAATGGCACGTCTCATGATGGATCTTAGGTTGATTGTTACAGTCGTATGTTTCTATTTGATGAAGCAGAAAAATTGATAGATGATTATGAAAAGACGAAATCACCAAGTTTTGTCATGTATAGTAAGTCTTTTTATTATGCAATGTTCGATGAATGTTTATTATTTTTTGTGTTTCTTATTCTAGTGTCGCTACTATCTGGTGCAAGAAACAATCGTGACACAATATTATCCGAAAAAATATTTAATCGAATGTTATCTTTATTTCCGGATGAAAAGGATAATCTTATGTCAAGTGTAATACTTGTCTCAAACACATATTCATCTTTGGGTGAAGATGAACAAGCACATGACTTTAGATCTCATCATCAGAAAAAATTAGGAACCCGTGTAAAAGTTGGATTATCATGGACTGAAGTAAATGGTGAAGTAACGGTAAAAAATTTCAATTCATTTATAAAAATATTCAAAAAAATCTGTTCAATTTTTTAGGGGTTCAGTGCTTATGATCGTTTTCATCCATCTTCATTGAAAATCCAGGCTGAACTTAGTCGTATTGCAAAAGAATTGATTGAAAATGGTCATCAATTCAATTCGTCTTGTATAACGCGTCGATTAAATGAAGGAGAAACAGTTGAATCGGTTTTGATGGGTCATAGCGAAAAAATAGCAATTGCTTTCAATTTCATACAAGAGCCAATTCCAGAATTTATTCAAATTCGTAAAAATCTTCGTGTGTGTTTCGATTGTCGTAAGTTCATCTTTTTCTTCGTGATTGTTCTGGCAAATGAATTTCTTGTGCTTTTTTTTAACCTTAGATGCAGCCACGAAACTTATAGCGAAAATTCGACAACGTGATATTATTATACGTGATGCAAACCGTATTCATCATTTTCAACGAAATGGGCAATGTTCATGTCAAGATCATTTTTGATAGTTTATTACTCTAATAAATTGTTTGTTTTTGTTCAAATCGATTTCTTTCATCGAATGATACGTTGGAAAATTGAAAAAGATGCACAGTTCTTCAATTGTAATTGTAAGATCATTTTAAAGAATCTGACTCGTTGCTCGGGCTCATATAGTGCCAGTGCCTGTCGTCGCAAAAGAAAACGTTCCATTCCAATCTTTGTCTACTAATCTTCCTAAGAAGAAAGCGTTGGAACATATTATTGAATAAAAAAAAAGGCATAGTCAATATACGTACAATATCAGAAGAAATTAGCCTGATGCTTTTCACCATATCATGATACCTGGGCTGCGATTCGATCTATATTTCCTATAATTCATATATTTTCAAAAAAGTCCTATTTTTGTCCTATATTTTCCTATATTTTATCGAAAAAAGTAGGAAATTTCCGAAAACCTCTTGATTTTGCTATTGTCTTTAGACAAAAAAGAAAACTTGTAATGTGTATAATCATATGTTTTGGACCAATTCTTGTATTATAGTGAAATTTGTTTTACACAGTATTGTTCCTTTCGTCTATTTAGTGGGCTGACTGAGAAATTGTTTAAAACTAAGTAAAAAATACAAAATAGTTCAAAACATAAAAAACATTCACAAAGTGATCATGTACTAGTTTCGGATTTTTAGTGAATTTTTCGTTAGATAGAAAAGCTGCATATATATATATCCCTGGAGAAAATAAGTTTCACTCTGTATTTTGAGGATATTTTTGCGAAAAGAACATATTTTTAAAAAGTAACTGCATATTCTGAAAGCCCGTGAATGTTTACACCATCATGCGAATGTGTATTTTCATTTACACTTATTTATTACCAGAAAAAGTTGAGTTATGATAAAATACAAAATAAACTAGTGAAAAATAATAAGCGATGAATGCTGATTATCAGGGCAATAAAATTAGGTTGAGATTTTTTGGGAATTCATGTCCGTAGTCTGAAGCGTCTCATTTAATTATGAGAAATAGTATTTGTCTTTTTCATATATTTGGTTTTTCAAAGCTTATGATCTACTTTATTGTTTTTTATCGATTCGTGAAAAACTTTTACAATGATCCTCGAATTAGCGACTTATTTCAGTAGAAAAAATTACATAAGGATCTTGGCTACGGTTGAACTGTTTATAAGACCGTCATTAAAAAGACTTTCGAGCAGAGCAGTTAAAAGACACCAAAACAATTAAACAAAAGCAGTGTATAAAGTGTCCTCTCTTTTTGTCATTTTTACCGAAAAATCCTATATTTTTGACAACCTTGATCCTCTAAGGATTCCTATATTTTTAAAAAAGTGCAATCGTAGGCCAGGCTGTAACATATAATTATTTCTTAGCTAAATTGCTAAAACTGTAATGATATTGAACCGACAATAGTATATATATATATACAACATATATCCGTTAGAATAAAACTATGAATAGTTTCCTTTTTCAAAATATTAAAATATTTCCTTTAGGACAAAAATGAAGAACAAACCAAAGTTACGCAGCAGTTATTGATTTAGCCACATTGTCTCTAAGAAACTCAATAAATATTCAGATTCTAAACAAATAGTGTATATGATTCTGAATTTGTACTGATTGCCTGTATAAACATTTTTCAAAGATACAAAAATGATAACGAAGAAATTCTTTCTTATATCATTATTCGAAATAAGTCTATAAGAAATTAAAATGATGAATATGCTTTACTTCTTTTAGCACTTTTATTCTCTTTAGTTTGTATTTTTTTTTACAATGAGAATGCATGAATGTCTATGTAAGGAAAGAATATGATTCATACTTACACTCTACATTTTTTGTTAAGTACTCCAAAGTAATAGACAAGAATAATATAATAATGACAATATACAAGAGAGTTCAATGGTTCATTGCCTTCATGCCATTGATTATGAAGTAGTTAAAGTATACAATTTGTTCGTTCTTGACCAAACGTTATTTTCCTACTGTCCCCATGTGAAAGTGAAATCTGTGAGAACCTAGAGTAGTTTTGTATTATGAGAGCAGTTATACACAAATTTGAGGCTAAATATGTAATAAAATTTATACCGAGAATTTTATTTTCATCTTTGTAAAAAAAAACATTCGAGACAATTCTTTATAGATGATTGTTGTTTTAGATATTAAATCAAACATTTGTTTTGGATTATAAATTGCTAATTAAATATCGAACTGACGTTTTATATCCCACAAAATGCTAAGCGTAAAAGTCATATTCGTAAGATTTTCAGCAGATCAATAGTACATATGAGAAAACTTTTTACATTCAAATAAATAGTAGTCAATCGATCAATTCAAGCGATGAATATAATTGACAAGAACGATCATCGTATATTGTCTAATTATGATTCGAATTTGAATAATTCTCTGAAGGGTATGACCAATAGTGTCTAAATATTAATTTAGTCATTTTTCATTTTAAAAACATATTACTTGTGAGTTTCAATGAGCCCGGCTGATGTATTTTCCATAGATTGAAAGCTAAATTCAACTAATCGTTTGAGTTTTGCCTGATGAATAAAAAGAAAGAAATTCATTTGACGTTCATTGTTCTCTACTACTAGAATGGTGTTCAATTTTATAGCGAAATCATTGCTTGTTTCCTTAATTATAGCTCGAATTCAACCATAGAGAATTAATACAACTGGAGCTTTCGATTCGAAAGTTTCGAATCCATCCCATTAATTTCAGCTTTATAATACTATAGAAAATTTTATTAATTATAAATGATTATTAATATTACAGTATCAAAGCCAAACATATAACCAATCACGGAAACAAATCAATTCGAATATTATTACAATCAAATAATCCATTACGAACAGCTGTTATTAATGATTCTTTGAATGTATTTCTTATCTGTTCTTTAGATTCATAAAGATTACCTTTGTTTATTGCTAATTCAATCAGTTGATGAAATTCACGAATTATTTCTAAAACAAAATTAACTAAATCTGTATGGAGCATAATATTTGTACCACCGGTTTCAAGACAACGCAGATGAGGTGCTAATTGAGTTAATTGATGAACATTAAAATATTGTTCATCGTTCGAATGTACTCTATCTACTATGAGACGTAAATGTTTCAAATTTGAATATGATTTTGAACAATGACGAAAGTCTTTCCACGCTGTTACCAAATGTGAAAGATTTGGTGATGCATCAAGTATTTGCTCAACGATCATTATACGAACTGTGTTTTGTGTTGAGTCTGGTTCAAAGTTAAAAGTCATAGATCGTAGGTGGCGAAGCAACAAGTCACTACAAACTGGATAATTCGATGTTACTGGTATGTTTGTCTAAAAAGAAAATAAACATATATCATATTTGAATTTTTTTATTTTTAAGATATATTTCCTCAACTTAATACGAAAATAGTTCTATACGATTTCACAATGTGCATATTCATTCTGCAGATTTAATAAATCAATTATCAAAATTATCACATGAACTCATTGTAAACTTTTCTTTTCTCTCTCCAGATCAACAAAAATACATGTTTTGACAACTGATATGTAATGAAGCAAACCATCAATGAACATTATAATTCGACGGGAGAAAAGTTGTGTATTGATTTTTTTGATATAGCACTGTGATTAGATGATGCATAGCAACGCCACCGAAAATATAGAAAAACGCTTACGTATTTTTGGCAACAATTGCTTTATTCAATGCTTATATTAACGATGAATTTCATGTAATAATAAAATAACTATTATGGCATATAAGAGAGTATAGTGAAGATCGCTCGATTAAAAATTCCAATTTAGTTGATTTAGATTTTACAACTAAAGAAAAAACGATTAACTTAACATTTCGTAAAGAACCTGAATATTATATCTAATAATATAGTTTAGTCGAGAGGCAGAACGCAATGTCAAAAGTTTTAAACTATATAGACAATTTCGCTTGTTTTTCGTAGACCGAATATTCTATTATATAATATTTAAAGACTCAATAAAATGTGATCGATCTAGTTTGACAAAATATTATCTGATTGCAAAAAAAACACGTGATGAAACAGTTTTCGAATCCCTACTGCTCTAAAATTTTTCTCATACCTATTTGAAAGTATAATTCTTTTATGCTACAATTTACGATAAAATTTCTCCTTCACTTCTCTTATGGCATTAAATTCTAATTTTTTATTTCTAATGGAAATTATTAGAAATCATTTTTTTGCACGATTTGGGAATTCATACTGACAAGCATAATTAGACTTCAAAAAATATTTGACAATAATAGCTCAAAGAGAGACGCAATTTCTCGAGCATTTTCGTATCATCGATCAATCTGAATATCCCAGTTCTAATGATGGTTCGTTCTTTATGTGAAGTAAAATTATTCTTAAATGTTTACTAAAACATTTATAGTTTAACTCTGTGCTATCATAAATTGGCAAATTATAATTTTTTAAACTCGTTTCCGACATAAATTAAAAAGAATGCTTTCACACTATAATTGCTTTACTTACTCGTCCAACTTCACATGTTAAATAGAGTTTATTGACTGAACTATTTGCAGCCACTTGCAAATTTTTCAGTAACTTGTCAGGTTGGTCTGTTCGATCACAAGTCAGGTCCAGTGACCGTCGTCCATTGGTAACGATCGGAATAATTGCATGTTCTACTAAACGATGATTATGTAAGGTTCGTTTGTGTTGTAACAATACGTTTATCGGGCGTTTATGGACTACAAATAGCGGGTCCGTTACAAAATTTAGATCACCATCAACAGAAATCCAACTGTCATCTAAATAACAGCCAAGATCATCAAAAGGCCATTTGCCATTACAAATGAAAGAACTCATTTGCCATGCGTGTTCCATTTCTTGAGGAAAACAAAACGAAAAGTGAAGATCCTTTAAAGCAGGTAAATATGTAGAACTACAAAGTTCCTGAAATTTGCCAACATAATCCAGTGCTGCAAGAAAGAATAAACAACAGAATTAATAGTAAGGTAAACATATTCGAAAGAAAATAGATCTCATTCAGCAAACTCACATAATCGCGGTTAGTCGCTTTCGTCTACTGTCTTTCTTTCTTTCCTCTTAATAAAAGTATAGTTTTTAACTATACTAAGTGGCGTGACTCACTGGCTTCGTAGCAGTCCTATATATCCTATATTTTAAAAATTTATCCTATAATAGACTATATTTTGAAAATTTTCCCTATATTCCTAACTTTTTCAAAAAATTGAAGATTCTTTTCAAAAAATTCCAAAAATTCTTGATAAGCGTTCAAAACGTTATCTAGATAATGTATATGGTACACACTTTGCATTAATTGTCTGTGTATTAGTGTTTTATCCAGGATTTCTGGGTATGTTACATATCAGCGTCACTACATGGGACCTATATGGAACTTATGGGGGATCATATTGGAACTATATAATGAGGTTTTGTGGACAAAATTTTGTGGTTGTAGTTTGCGAAAACAAAATAATGTTTTTGCTTGTCCGATCGGGAAATGTTTTTAACCTTTTTTGGTATTCCGCCTTTTAGAACTTCATAGTAAGCTACATCGAATTTCATCGACAGATTTCAAATTTCATCGAAAAATAAGCATCCATTCAGGAGTTATAACGGTTTGAAATTTTGTTAAAATTTTGGCAGCATTTGAAAAAAATTCACAACGTTATAACCCCTGAATGGATGCTTATTTTTCGATGAAGTTTGAAATCTGTCGATGAAATTCGATGTAGCTTACTATGAAGTTCTACAAGGCGGAATACCAAAAAAAGGTTAAAAACATTTCCCGGTCGGACAAGCAAAAACATTATTTTGTTTTCGCAAACTACAATCACAAAATTTTGTCCACAAAACCTCATCAATACTATTCTTATCTGGTTCTACATTTCATCTTTTATTTTAAAATTAAAATTTTGGACTTGATTTTACTGATTCTGTTCATGTTGAAATTAATGCCACCATATACGAAGTTTCGTCCGCACTGATTGAGCAAAACAGACTCTGAATGCCGTAATGTGAATAAATGTACTTTATGTAACACACATGAAAGAAAAGTTCATTGAAATCATTGGGGTGTAGGTGTGTGGATGGGTGTTGATGTGAATGTGCGAGTATTTTTGTTCAGAAACCCACCTACACCCTATATCGCATGTATGTGTCCAATAGTTGAAAATAAATCGAATATAAATTAGTTTTTTATGTTTTAAGAAAATCTTGCTGCTCCATTACTTTTCAAAACTGAATAATATTTTTATTTAGCTGATTAGATATACGTGCAAAAACAATGCATTATCATCTTCAATGCTGCTGCAGTGATTTTTCGGTGTCTACATCTTTTTCTAGAACAAATTTGCATCCTATATTTTTCCTATATAGCTGAGGGCGATCCTATTTATTTTAGACCTATCCTATATAGAAATTCCTATATTTTTTGAGAGGGCCGCTGCGATGCCAGGTGACTCATCATCATTAATTCTATATATTACTAATGATGAGCAACAGTGGCATTATGCCTCATCGAACGAATATGACAAATATCAATCAAATGGATGGAGATTCGGTTTCAGCAACTATACCAACAACAGAACAAAATACAAATTCAACACGTAATGCAGCCAAAAGACCAAAACAAGGTGATGATTCATTTGAACTTGAACATCGTGTGGTTAATATTCATAACCAATCTATCACGGGTAGTTTCCTGAAGCTCTATAGACTCATTTTATTAGGATCATTCGAGAAAAATGTTGAGAAAATCATTCAAAAAAAAGATGCCTGTTATAAGGATAATATATATTTTTTCGGTATTTAATTGAGAACATTAAATGAATCGATATGATCAGGACGAATTTCTCCAACGTATAATGAACGACCGTTGACACTTAAAGTCAAATCATGTGGATCACCGAATTTCTAAAACAATAAAGCCAAAAACATGAGCTAGTGTTAAACAGAATTAGAAGACAACAAACATCATTTGATTCCAAAAATGACTGAGAAATGTAATGAGTATTTGTTCTGACTCGCAGGGCAATGGAATATTCTTGCGTTTCACGATTGATCGTCCAATATTTTCCTAGATCCTAAACTGCAAATTAATAGAATATCTATTGACATGCAACTAAAAATAAAATAGATTCTTGTCTAACTGTGGAAGAAAAATGCAAATGTGAACAGAGAAGGTGCGTGTGGCTTGATGTGTACAAATATTACTTTAACTAGATGCGCCGTAGGCACGTCATCATTATCGAGATCAATCCATAGTAAATGAAAAGCACTCTAAAGGAATACTTTATTGTTTATAAGAAGAAAAGTTCGCATATGAAGGTATTTGAGTGCTTACGAAAATATATACGCAACAAACAATATAACATCAATGAAGGTATATTTGTCTCATGTTCCGAATACACATGGCAAAGTCATGACGAATCATTTATGCCAATGTTTGCTAATTATATTAAGAAATTACACCTTTGAGAAAAGAAAATCAGTATAAATAATTATTGCTCAGATTGATAAGAAAAAGAAAACTTACGACTGTTGTTTGCGAATAGAAAGGTGAAAGTATCTGGCTCGATAACTAAAGATAATCTTCGTTCTCTTCTATTTGATGGTCTATCTAATATTAATGAAACTCAAAAATCTTATGATTTTTTCTCTCAATATTTACGTGATCATGAGACGCACGTATTTTTTTTAGCAGATTTGCTACGCGAAACACTTAAATTTAGCGATGAGGCACGCCACATGTTAACTGATTGAAGATGTCATTACTGGTGTCTACTGTTCAATAGTTGAATTAGGCACATCTGATAATACCCGAATTATTTTAGAAGTTAATGGTTATGCCAATAAATTTATTATTCCACCATTACCTAATCTTTTGTTTATTCGTGATGCATTTTCAGTTTTTGAAAAGCATGTTTTTATTTGGCAAATGGCTAAATCAGCACGACAAAATGAGCTTCTTTTATTGCATACTGTCTTTCGATTTCATCCATATTTATCAACTTCTGGTTTGAATATTGTCGAATGGCAAACAAAGAATGCTAATGACGAATATCCAACAATTGAAGGAGGTGCCGTTGCTTGTCTTGGTCAAGGTATTTTACTTATTGGTGAAGACATTGCTGGTACAGGTCTTTTTCGTCAAATAATCGTTGTTATTATACCACCACACCGTGATTATATGCATTTGGATACTATTATTAGTTCAGTTGGTAAACATGCATTTACATTACACAGTCCATTAACTGAAATCATGGAAATATTCACAGTTGAAACCCGATGTATTAATGATAATGTATTTCCAAAGTCAATGTGGATTTCACATGTATTTAATATTCGTAGTGCCCTTCGAAAGCTTCTCAATGAGCCTAAGCTTATTTTTTATGATGCTCAGAATGAACAAAAAAACAATGTCGTCATAATGTTGTCGTTATTGATGATTGTCATGATGTCACTTATGCAGGTGGTGATCTCGAAAATGGTATTATCAATCAGATGATTCGAAATAATATTTGTCAAGTTGGCCAAATTCCTTCTCAAGGTTTATTTGAGGGTGGTCGTGATGCTCACTGTATGACCAATGCTGTTCGACGACGAGCTAAATAGAAATTGTTTCTTTTTCGTTATCGATCTCGATGATTTCCTTGTTGTTTTTGCTTATTTATTGAATTGAAAATTTGTTGGCCTATGGTAATTTCACGATATACGTATAATATCAAGAAATGAATCTGACGCACAAATGGATTCAATTCGAATTTTCGTCAGCTAGTTTTATTTTATTTAGACTAGGAAATAAGCAAATAACTATTGTATAACAATCAAGAATTCGCAAAGAAAATATTTCACACAGCTGATTTCTTAATCATGGAAAATCAAAGTGGAATAGTATGTACTTTTAATGTCAAGTCCAATCACTTACATCGTTAGGAAAAAAATCTATTTATAGATGGACAGTAGAGAATAAACCAGAGTAAGTGATATTGTAAAATGAATCCTAAAATAGTTTAGCAATTAAAAACGCCACGATTCAAGTCACTTGAATCAAGTGACAAACAATATGAATTTTATGCAAAAATTTTGCTTTTTTTTATTATCCTATCATCATTATTTTAATCAGTTTTTTTCTGTTTTTTGTTTCATTAGCATCATTATCAAACCGTAGACAAAAAAAAATATAAGACAAAGTTTTAAGAACAATAAACACATGACGAGGAGAAAAAATAAATGAAGAAAAAAAGAAAAGGAAAAATATTAATTGCACACGTAAATCTGACATATACATAGATATAGATGAATAGAGAGAGAAAAAGTAACTCATTGATTTTGCGTACATTCTCTTTTTTGTTTCTACAAGAGTAAAATGTACACACATGCCCAATACTACAATGTGGTATGCTATGTCACGGGTAGAATGAGAGAAAACGTAAATGCTATTTCATGTGTAGGGCATTGTACTGTTGTTGCTGAGCTTGTGCAGCTGCTGCTGCAGCCGCTCGATGCTGTTGAACTTGTTGACTAATCTTAAGCGAACGGCGAAATAGCAAAATATGTGGTTCTAGAAGACGAAGAAACTTTATTTATTTTTAGTTCTATTCAAAATTCTATTTATTTACCTGGTTCATGAATCATAAAATGAATCCAGCCGAGTGATTGTTGAACGCCAAGGTGACGCCATTCATTCTCTGTTAGTAGACGACCTTTCGGCACTTTCTTTGCAATTTCTTTTGGTAAAATCACATGACGATATTCGTACATTTCCTAAATAAATCAAAATAAGATCCTCAAAAACTATCGCGAAATATGATCCAAGATTCTCTTTGACTTCATGCAAGCGTAATACTTTAAGATACAGAAAAAAGATTGATCTCATCCATTCAATAAAAAACCTTACGTCTTTATATGTATCTGAATAGTAGATCTGTTCTTTGTGTGATTCTTTTTCTTTTTGTGCAGCGTCTTTAGCGGCCATTGCTAACGAAAAGATGTAAAACGACGGCAAATGAAAATGCTTTTGTTTTCTTTTTCTAATCTAAAATAAATTAAATTTTCAATGTAACCAAAATGAAATAATAATAAAAAAAACATCCAACAAATATAAATTGATATGGTAAAGAGATATCTGACAACTACGGGAAAAAATGAAAATTGAACACATAAGACTTGAAAAGATAAATGTTGCTTATTTATCATCTATCACAATGACTTTCAAAGCCTGATTCATTGAATTCTTCATTCACATTACTATTGATCATTTTATAATGATTAACAGCCATTCGAAGTCCACCACGCATGATCATTGTACTTTTTAAATTTGTCGAATCACCGAGTGGAAAATTGACTGGTGCATTCAATGTTGCACTGATAGGAATGCGTGTTATAGGAAAATGTGTATTTTGCTGTTGTGTTGATGGATCAGGTTCAACACGATATTGAAGTAACCGGCGAAACATAAGAACAAATGGTTCTAATAGAATACTATGTAAATGAATAATAAAATTAAAATAAAGCAAAACTATTACCAGGCTTATGTATGAGATAATGTTCCCAATGAGGTCCTTGTTTAATACCCAATGCACGCCATTCACATTCGTCCATTAATCGATTCTTGGGTATTAATGATACCATACTTTTATCCAAAATAATATGTCTATACTGATAAGAATCATCTTCATCTGTAAAAAAAACAATCGTTGACAAACATAGATAAATATTTCATATAGGAAACAAATCAAAAACGGAATCTTTCAACATACATGTTGATGAATAACGTGGTGGCTTTAGTTTTTGGTTCGATGACATGCTATTAAATCTTCAATGGCTAGATCTAAAAAGAGAAGAAATGACGAAACAGCGACAACAGGAACCTGTCTAGTTATTCATAGAAAAGAAATAAGTGAACATGTTTATCTTTTTCGGAAAAATAAACTGTTTGTACAAGAAAACAAAACCAACAAATTAGTCTTTTTCACTCGAAGAATTGTAAGACTAGACACCGCTATTCTGTTTTTAACATTTCGTAAAATTTCCTTTGTTCTTCAGCTTTATAATCCGCTTTTGGTAGTGCACGTTTTAAACCTCCATCCCATTCTAAATCAACAAAACCACCTTGCTTAGCAATAGCTGCTTTAACACGACGTGCAAAATCAACCGATGTTTCACCTTCTTCAATAGTCATCGGCGGTAAATAATAAACATCAACAACGATCGCCCATGATGTCATCATTAGTATTAAATATTGAAATAGTTCATGTTTAGTTGAATTCCAAAAAGCATCACCAAATCTATTATCATATTTAATGGCAACCGGATAAATTGTTGCTTCAGTTATTTCAAAGCAACCTTTTTTAAACATCATTACCGACGTATTATTGATACATGTTCCTTCGGGAAAAATTAATATTGGTAAATTATTATGAGCTTGAATATGTTCACGCATTTTCTCCGCTACCATATGACGATCTTTTGCTTCCGAACGTTCAAACCATATATGATTTGCTGTTTGTGATAATGTTCGTTGTACCATACCGAAAAATCCACCTTGCTGTTGTCCAATCATAGAAAAACTATTATCTGTTGATAAAATAATAACATCAATCGGTGATGTATGATTTGCCACACATATTGAACCACATTTAGCACGATGTTCTGTATTATGAATAGTTATTATAGCAGAAAACACACGGGATAAGATACGATGTAAAACAATATTTATGTAAAAACCAAAACGTAATTTAGCATCTTTTGCAGGAAAATATTGAAGAAATACAGCTGATCCCAACATCCATACGACGCCAAGAATAAATAGAAAGAGACGAAATGGAAATAATATAAAATAACGTACACAAAATCCAAGAAACCAAAGTAATGTAACACGCATAGAAAAATATTCATGCTGTTGTTGAGTACGAGTTAATAAATTCCATACAACCATTTCTTCGGCTGATGTAAAACGTTTTGTAACATCATCATCAACAATCGCCTCAAGACCTTGACGTGTATAATCTATGATATCTCCTGCAATCAAAAATAAAATAAAAAAGTAAGAAAATTAATGCTATTTAAGACATTACTCAAACTCTTGTTATACAGAAGTAATAAAGCTGAATTGAACAGAGGATCCTGTGATCTTCTGTCAAATGAATGTATTGATGAGTTTTTTTTTTTCTACGTTAAACTTTATTTGCTTATGATTTAGTGCATGCAATTATTTTTCTGAAAAGATCTTTAGCTGACAACCGACTAACCACATTCTGCAAAAAGTTTAGACTCTTCAGTTTTCCGCAATTTATTAGCGAAAATATTAAAATATTATAGAACACTCATTGATTTGTAAAGAAAATTCAAAAGAGTTTTTGTCTTTTCGGGATTTTATTAATCTCACTGAGATCTATAAGTTAATCAAAATATAAACGTAACTATGTCAATATTCTTTATCTTAGTGCTCATATCATCTATGAGATAAATTTAAACTTTAAACATTTTTTGCAACTTTTTATCTAGAAATTGATTCTCGTTACTCTGAATAAACTTTACATTATTCGATAACCAACAATTGTAGGTCACTCTTTTTTATCATGGTAAGATTCTAAACGTAAAAATTCGTATGTGATAACCTTTCGCGAAGATTTTTCTTTTCATGATTTTTATGGCAAAACTAATTAGCTCGACACTTTATCGACAATATTTCGAGTCATTAACCGAATAAAAATCGTGATGAATTCGAATACTTGTAATTACCTAGTTTAAATTGAATATCACTTTGTGATGAAGCTCTAGATACTTTTTGTTCTTGAATAGGTAATGAATCGGATTCATTTTCATTATTAATTTCGTCCTTACAATCATTTAATAATTGTGTTGTTGAAGTAACCTCAACAGGATTATCTTCATTTTTCTTTTCAAGGGTTGGTGCCAGTTTGTTTTTTGCTGTTGACGGTGGCAAAGGTGTTGGCGGTTCGTCCGACGATCCATTAGAATCAATCGAAATCTCTTTATCTCGTTTAATTTTTGTTGCATAATCAAATATCAATGCTAATAGTTGAACATAAAGTCTACGTATGCCAAGTGATAAATTTAATGCCGCTAATGTAAGTACTAGCGCGGCTATACCAACCATAGGGGCACATATAATACTTATAATTGTGAAAACTTGTGCTGTTGTAATCATGATTTAATTGAAATTGTACAATGATAAATGATGATAAAGTCTAGAAAGAGTAAATAACAAAAAAATTTAATAAAAAAAGATCCACGTACAAAGTTCAACAAATTTAAAATGAAAGACAGAAGAAAAAAAACCAAAAAAGCGTTATATCGACCAGTTATGACTTTTATTTCAAGATTTTTTTTTCTTCTGTTATCGTCTGACACATACCTGAAGATTTTTTATTTCGACCATTTTGTTCACAACAACACACATTAACACAAGTGAATGTTAAACGTGTATGTATTGAATCTGCCCTTTTTTTGTTGCTTTTCTCTTTCCCTCTATTTCTATTCTCTCTCATGTATATATACATATACTATATTTTCGATCGAAGAAATAATTGTATTCTTTAGCGAAAAGAAAACGTGCAGTAACGGACTGATCATATTATGTTTTAAAACCCTCGATTATAAATAGATATATAGCTTGCGCGTTTATAAATACCTGAGAGAAACGAAATTATCGTGCGATAAGGAATAGAAAAAGTCACGAAGCATATCAAATTATAAACAATAGCGTTGTTATTTTAATTTCTTTTTTTTTCTTTTAACTAAGCGCTGCATTTTTAATTAATTAGACATTGAAAAACAAAACAAAATAAAAACATAAAACTAAATTAATATTAATTATATAACGTTAAACTAAAATAAAACTCAGATAAAATACGAACAATCGTTATCACAATATCTTTTTCGGTTAGTATCAATCAACAGACGGAGATTATTTTTATCATATGTCAAATAGAAGGAAAAAATGTGAGATTCCAAAAAATATCTAAACTTCAGTTTGATGTCCATCAGCATCCTCAGTTGGCGCTGATTTTATACCGTGTTGCGGAATAGTTAATACATTAGCAAGCGACGATGCTTGTTTTATATGCAATGTTAATCTTAAAATAAAAATTTTTTATTTCATTTGAAAATTTTAAAAAAATCCAAAAATTAAGTTATCTTACTTGTGTAATAAAACCATACTAATTGCAGCAAGAACCAAAAAGAGTACACAACTGCTAAATATAACTTTCAAATGAAAGTCCTAAATAATAAAATAGTTCATTTTTAATTTATATACATGTACTTTTTTTTTGTTTTAGTTTACTTTAAGAAGAATAATAACGACAATCAAATTCAATGGAATTCGAAAATAGTTCATCACAGTAGCGCGAGCTAAGAAATATCAAATGATAAAATTTGTGGTTTTTTATATGTTAAATAACAAAACAAACCTTCTTCAGGTACATATTTACTACGCATTGTTGCCATTGCTCTAATTTATTCAAAAGAGAGAAACTAATTAAATATTAAAAATGATATAATTAATAGGATTCAATAATACGATCAATTAGTGAAGCTCATTGACTTCTATGTCACGAAACTAAACACTAATCTCTCTATTTTCTTCGATTATAGATGCATTCATAATCAGATAACTTACGGCCAAAAGACACCGATGCAAAATTCGAAGACTAAGAATGCGACAAACATAATAGCTTGATCCTAAAAAATACGGATGATTAATTTATATAGACAAATATTAATTTACATTTGGCATAAATACTGGTACGCACATACATAAAGCTGAGACAGAAACGATTGATCTAAATAAAGCAATTAAATGATAGATATACTAAATTAGATTAATTACAGATATCCCAAATTTCAATTATCACATATACAAGAGATCGGAAAATGTGATGCCATCGACTAAGAATACAGAGTTTCTCATCAATGGAAATGACATGCAAATAATCAGCTAGTCTTTTGAGAAAAGACTAATTATACGCTGATCTCCGATTACGTGTTAGCAACGAGAGTTTTAGTCTTCTATTCAATTATAAATAATGCACTAAAACGTGATGGCACAATGTCAAATGTACTCTATGATAATTTTCGTTGGATTTAAACAGTCAACATGGACACACACGCCGTCATAGTTAATAGAATGCAAGTTTAACGAATGTCATCATCAAAAATAAAAAATCATTACCTCATAAATGATTCTGGTGTTGCGTAATTGCAGAAAAGTTTGAATGAATTCGATCCCATCATCATAGCAACCATATAACTAGCAAATACAAATCCTAAATAAAGGGGAATAAAACTCGATTATGTATGGGAATATAATCTCTATTCGAACCATGTGGAATCGGTGGATTTTTGTTATCGGTTTTATTAATATTTGCATTATTTAATGCTTGGGTTAATGCTGGAGTCCATTCAAGTACAAAAACGTACATAGATGCTTCGAATAAAGCTTGAACAACGCCAAGAAGAAATATTTTTTTATCTATAAGATTAATAAATGAAATGATGACTTAATTTTAAACTTTCATAATATTAATATTACCAGATTTAATTGCAGTCCAAGCAGAGATAAATGATTGAGATATTGGTGCGTTAGCATCACCATAGTTTTCTGACCAGGTAGTTATCAATAATATACACATTGCAATAAACGAAAGTATAGCACTATCAAATGGAGCTCTGAAAGAAAAATGTTCATTTTAAAAACTTTTCATTTTGACCGCAACATTTATTTTCATTCTATCGATATTATGAAATAGAAAAATATGTTTACTCAAGCCTTGCTGCTATTTTACAATTTCCGGCAACACATTAGATATAATTAGTTCTTCAAATTATGCTTTCGATGCTTGAAAAGCAGTGTAAGAATTTCCGATAGTCTTTAGTTAATGCTCTTTTCTTTGCATAAATAATACGATATAAGTAAATCAAGGCGTGAATAACCTTGATCACGAACAAGATCGTTATCTATCATATCAATCAAATATCATTTTTGCATCGTTTTATATGCTCTGAACAAATACGTAAAGAACAAATCTAGTCCCGTACACGAACGATTTTTCAACATATATGTAAAGTATACTTTTTGTAAATTCAGTCATACGATGATTGTATGCAATCTAACCACGACTGTTTGTTCTCCTATCATTTACACCCGACGTGTATTGTCACATTAGCCTATGATTATTATTAGTAAATATTTTGCAGCAAGAACAAGGACTCGGTATGCGTTCGGCCTTCTGTCTCGTTCTGTTGAAATATACCTTTAGACAACATGATATTTTTTAGTAGGTCTTAACTAACACAATGCTTTTAGCATATTCGTAGGAATATACTAAAAGAGAGTGAACAATCTCTTGATTCTTCAACAGAATGGTGAATAAATCTTACACATAGCCAAAATTATTTGCGACGAGTTGTGCAACGATTCCCGATAGAATAGCCACCACGGAATTACCAAAATATGCATTAGCAAAAATAATGCCTAATGTGTCTGGTTCAAAATTTCTCTATAAAAGCAACATGTCTTATTTTTAATCTTGTTATATATTTTATATTCATACTCGGCGGTGTTCGTTAACTAACCATGATTCAAAAGCACTAAATAAAATCGATGTAGCCATACCAGCAAGTAATCGTCCGACAAATAAAATGTAAAAGTTTGGAAAATGCTAAACAAATCAACTTTTTATTGATTTCACATATTACATAAAATTTATTCACCTTGGTTACACATGACATGCCATAAAGAATACCATAAACTATACAGGTGTTTCTTCTTCCACTAAATCACAAAAAGACAGTAAAGAAAAAAACGTGATGTTTTTCTTTTTTCTCGTTACTATTTATCAGCAAGTGAAGCAACAATCGTGCCAAATATCATTGATGAGCCAAAGCCAGCAATAAAGAGTACTTCGATTTCATGCTTTTGTATACCATAACTTTCGTATAATGCATATACATGAGGTCCTTGAAGCCAATCACCAGCTAGAAAATAAAGAACGTAAATATCGTTAATTGGAATTTAGTTATTCATTTTTTAATTGAATTTTTACCGACAGCTAACAGATAAACAATCAAATAAGTTTGTTGGAAACTACGATAATTTGAATCTTTTACTTGTTGCTGAACTTGTCGAGTATACCAATGAATTAAACCACATGCTAATATTAGAAAACCAAGAGCAAAAGTGAACATATCCATGGTTTGCTTATGCTTTTAGTTACTACAGGAGTGCAAAACGCTTCGTTCTGCTCTAATAGTAAAAAAGTAAAAACGGAGAATGAAATTTTTTTCTTCTCGTCATTCATTTTTTTCTTCTCGCTATTCATTTTTTTCCCCATAACTCAATGTACGCCATTAATCAATCCAAAATAGACGCATAATGCAACTATATTTAACCAACTGAAAGTTTTTTTTAACGAATGAAAACAGATGTCGTTGTAGTGCGAATAAAAGCAATCAGTTTTTTTTTAAATATCTACATTTCGATATAAATAGATGAATAGATCGTACAATATTAAGGAATACTCTCAAGCAATAATAAAATGTAATTATCGATTACTAGTGCTTGAGAATACACTTAGTGTTACGAGTTGTTCGTTCAATACATAAAATAAAAGTTTTGTCTTGTTAACTCTAGAAATCATTTGTCTGTCTCTGTTAGGGCTTCTTTCTTTTTTTTTGGATAAAAAGAAATGTTCGTAAGTTCTTGTCTTTCAGTTGATTATTAAAGACTATCAAATGTATCTGCGTTTCTTTCTTGTTCTTCTATTCGATATGGTAATGTTAGTTATGTTGACATCATTTTGCTTTACACAATCCACCTCCTATTACTAATAATATGCACATACAATTTAACCAGTTGGATTCTCAGCTGGACTAAACTAGTTGATTTGTATATTTGTGAATTCATTTTTTCCTTGTGACAACAAAGATGGAACCATTGATGAATATCAATGAGCTTCTAACAGTAGTTCTAATTATATAATCGATTTTTTTTCTTTTCTTTTGTTTCCCCATCTTTTTTTTTTATTAACGGTATGATCAACAAAACAAAACAAAAGAGTTTTTAAACATTGTGAGTACGTAGAAAAATACAAGAAACACTGTATATCATAAGTTATTACTGCACAAGCAGAAAAAGCATCACTGTGGTACACGCACACGCACACACACAAAGTGGAATCGGGATTTCTGCTTTATGATAACATGAGATTGAGTTAGTTATTAGAAGAAGAAAAAAGAAAACGAAATTGTTTTTATACAAATAATCTATGTACATATCAAGGCATTAAGAGTTTTTCATCATCACTGCTTGCTTGATCATCGTCTTGAATCGTCGTTATAGGTAAGGATGGTGATGATGGCGGTTGATCTTCTAAATGGTCACACAATGTATTTGAAGGTATGTGTCGTTTATGAATACGAAATAATGTTGATGGCATTGTAGTCGAAATCGTTGTTGATGTTTGAATATCATTCTCATGATGAATTGTTAATAACGGCTCATCAGAATAAGCTGGTGGTTGTTCTTGTGTTTGCATACAAGATCGATTGGAAAGTGCAATCGGTTGTAGGAAACTATTTCGTTCATGTACATCGAAGTCATTTGATGAAGTACGGTTATTATTTATTGAAAGATTTCTTGTAAACAAAGATCGAAACCGAGAACGAAAACGATCCAATCGATTTGTAGATGACACTGGTGGATGGCTTTGAGTCGCATTTGGTTCCAGCAAAGTTATACGAGATTCTAAATGAAAAATAAGATCGATATGCAATATGCTCGTCAAGCATTTATTTACACTGATTTATTAAATTACCTTCATTTGGATTTCGACGACTATTGTGCTGATGATGCCGACGATGATGTCTACGATGCCTTCGAGTTCGATGTCTTGATGATCTTGAGTTAGAATTTATGTTTGGTAATGAAATAAAATTATCTAAACCAGCTAATCTTAAATAGTCGGCTAGAAGTGCATGTCTCTCTTCATCATCATCAGACAAGCCCATGGTTTGATTATATGATGGGGGCGCTATAGTTGGCGTAGCATTTGCTAAAATTAGTGCATCATCATCGTTTGCTGATTGATTAAGACGATTTGATTGTCGTTGATTTTCTTCTCGTCTACGTTGAATATATTCTTGAGGATTTAATAACCGAGCTGATGCTCGTTGTTCAGCTGAACGTAAATCTAACAGTTTACAAGTACATCCAAGTGCCAAAATTAATAGTATAGAACAAATAGTAGCACCAGTGACTGTAGCTGCCATTGTTCGACGAGAAATGCGAAATGGGCAATTTAGCTCATCGGAATTATCACCACAATCATTAGTACCTAGAATAAATCGTACATTGAATATAGATTCGAATTTATTTTTCTTAGCTAATTAATGATATTATAGAGCAAAAATTTGATTAATCTCTTTCTCATTTGCGAGAAGAGAATTATATTTTTGTTGAAGTTAAGATAAGCGCATGAGAGTATAGCACGAGTTCAGATATTTCATGTGCAATATATTATTTTTTTCCGAGAATTTCTCTGCTTATATTTTTCTCATTTAGAATTTGAGAAATCTCACAGGAGTTTCCTTGCTGCGTATTACTTTTGCTTGAACCAACATGCAAGACAGTAGTATTTGTCAGATCTCGTTCTATAATTGATGAACTTCTAAAAATAGATGATATTTTGTTTCACAAGTTTTCGAGCATTTGAATGCAAAGTTTTTCAAGCTGTAATAAATAGAGTGAAGATTGATAGAGACTGGCTTCAGTTTGTTCACAGTAAACCGAACGTATGCTAAAATTCTCATCAATTTTGTCATTACTGTAATATGCTTAGACTTGTCTTAAATGCGAGCTGCGTTCATTTATAAGAAATTCATTTAACTAGTAGGATTGCTTTGAAATGCTCAGTATATAATTATATCTATCCAGAAAAATAAACTTACCATCACAAACCCATGTTTCATAAATACAATTTAAATTTTTACAAAGAAAAGTTCCATTATTAGAATTACACCACCAATTTGTACAATTCTTTTCATCTATACGATTAATACAATATGCATTTCCATTGCAACGTTCAAACCATGTAAAACATCTTGGTTGATCCGATGGCAAAATTAATGGATCATTGCACGCAAATGTTGTTGGACATGATGCTGATGAACAACCTAATTCATCATCACCACTCATACAATCCCATATACCTTTGAAAAGAACATAGATTGTAAAATTCAAATTTTTTCATAAAACTAACCATCACATCGTTGTTCAATTGAATAACATTTTATTTCATAATGACCACTACAAAGTATTTGATTCGATGGACATAAACTTGTTAGCCACGTTATATTAAATAGAATATTATTGACATTATTTTGTTGATTAAAGAAAAGTTCATGTAAATTCTCTGTTGAACGTTTTCGTATAATAATTGTTGCTACATGGTTTTCATGTGTTTGGATTATTTGTTTCATTAATAACATATCGGATGTGAGAAGTAATTGCTTTTGTGTTTCACTACCATCATAAATTAATAGTTCTAAATCAGGACGTAGCTTAAGAATTTCAAAGTGATTGAAAATTATTTTTATTTTATGTTTTTCTTGGGCAATAATTATAAAACATAATGATTCACGATTGGAAAAAGTTGAATTATCAAGTATAATTTCACCGTGATCTTTGGAATAGGAAATAATTGTTTCACATTTTGATGAATAAGAACATTGAGCAGTTTGATCGTCTGGAATACACACACCTGAAATATAACAGAATATAATAGATAATAAATAAATAATTTTGGATCAAAGAAATAGATTCTGTCTACTGGTCAAGTCGATGCAGAGGAAAAAAATCACTTTTCGACTGATCTCTTTAGGTTTTTGTGAAGGTCACTCGTAGCTACTGCTTTCCTTCTAACACATAACGATAGCAAATGTGTCTTTAGTATCGCTCATATGAACCAGATGTTTTTTGTTTCAGACTAGAAATAAATTAAACGGCCTGGAATTTTAATGATGAACTTTTCTTTTTCAGCTTTCAAATGAAAAATTACTGTCAGGAATTATTTTAATTTTTCTTTTTGTCATGTGATAATAATTTCAATTTCAACATGTGATCGACTATTGAGTGTTTTAACAGATCATTTCAATGTACATCTATTTTTCTTTGTCATGTACAACTGTAAAACCTATTGTATAAATACGATGTGAATAGCTGTTTTTCAAAGAATGCATTTGCATATTTTACTTGACATTTTTATTCTTTTGTATATAAAGTTTGTAAAATGAAAATGTCAAGTGCAACTCGAGGATTTAGGAATTTTACAAAAAAACAACTTTTTCATCTACATTGATGTACATGAGACTATATATTATCGAATATATATTTTCTCCAAGGAGATATATGTTTGATAGCAGTCATAACTTCTTAATGAAAGCATTATTACTTAGTAGACATCTCTAATTCAAGGACAGAATCCTCGGACTATGGAGAAAACGGGAGTAATCCAGCTTCTGAAAGCAAATTTGGGAGAAAATGTTAAATGAAAAATAGGTCGCGTAATCTTAAACGTTATTGTTACCGTTCGGATCTATTTTTTCCGTTGGATTTGCTATTGGTAAACACCAAAATTCATCGGAACGACATAATAAACTAGTAGGTATTGTAACCATTGAGCATAATGGACAATCATCTTCATCGCTATGATCATCAAATAAACATTCATATAAGCAATTGCATTTCCATTGTTTCGGTATAATTAAACGACTTTTGAGACAATGAAAATATTCGTCGTGATTATAACTAATCGAATTGCTATGTGTAAATTCAAGTAAAAATCGATTAATATTTAAACTATTTCGATGCAATCGTGGCCGAAAATAAATCTCTAATAATGATGATGACGATGGAATAAAAAATGTTCGTTGTAATACATCACTCAATGTAATTTCTATTTTATCAGTTTTTAATATTAATTCATTTGAAGCAAATGTTCGATTAGTTTCTAATTTAACAATACGTAATGAAACAATATAATAAGATTGGCTTTCTTGTTTTTGATTAAAAATTCTCCATGCACATGCAGTATTTTTTATTTGAGATCGTCCTGAGAAGAAATTTATATTTTCAATATGGCCATACGTTACATTGTTACGTATTGTATTCCAACATGAATTTGTCGAATTAATAAAAACCAGAAATAATACTAGGATAATCCCATGATAATCATAAGACATATCTAGAATACAATATAACTCAAAAGAAGGTTTCAAAACATCGAATCAATCAATTCACTGGATATCACCATACTTAAATCTATCATACGATCCTCTATCGGATTATGTCGCTACACTCAATTCGAACAATTATTGACATGAACGTGATAATTACATCTGATAGTATATCAAATGAGCTTTTAATAGTAGAAAAAAAAACATTGATTTAATATAAAAAATTGACAAGAATAAATACAAGTTTTCATATATAATTCGTCAAACTTTGGGGAGCAATATAAGAAGAAAAATATTTTTTATAGACTAGACTTCTGTTTCCTCGCGATTGAACGAGAGGGATTGCTGTAAATCCAGTAGGATGAGGCAAAATTTTGTGCTATTATTAGTATAACACAACTGAAGAAATGAATACTTATTTATGTCTGACGAATTAAGACAAAGTTAAATATGATCTCTGTCCAATAGGGAAGTCGTGTGCAGTAAAATTAATCTAAAAATCTATTTTCTTGTAACAAAAGCGTTCTTGTTAGTCTATTATAAAAACTTGCTCTCTCTCAAATGAAGAAAGAAATTTTTTTTTCTCGATTCATCACATATTTTATTATATTGATCAAATAGATTTACTTTTAGAGGAAAACAACATGCAAAAAGTTGCAAATATTGATTCTAGATCAATTTAGTTCGTGTCGCTTGTAAAAGTATGATAAAAATAAATTTTTAGAAAGGAGAAAAGTGTATAGTTTGTTGAAAGGAAAAAAGCAGGTTGAAGGTTGATTCATCTACGATCAAGGAGTGTTCTTTTTTCTTCTCTTTAATGTAGTTTGTAGATGGCAACTTGACAAAGAATGAGTGAATAAAATTCATTTTCAATTTCACTCTTGAGAGAGAGCAGGGTTTCATGAGTTCGTTCGAATAGAACGACGCTGCCATTTTTAATTACACGATGTACAAATGATTTTCTCCCCTTTATTAATAAAAAAATCTTAAGATGTTTTTTTCATGAACCATACATTCGAAAAAAAGAACTATTTTAGTATAAGCAAAATGATGTAACTATCAATGAGGAGATATTCTCAACTGGTACTCTCCAAATTTTAACGACGAAGTAGAATAATGGACAGATTTGTCTTGCTATAGAAAAAAAATCAATTTTCTAAACACATGCATCCTCTGTTAATCAATATTCAATCAATGTAGATATTATTGTCAAAAGTATAGGATACTACGTAGATTTAAACTGAACAATATCCCATCATGCCAGCAGGTAGCTTCTGTGTCTCTCAGAAAAACTTGATAAAAGAATTTCTCAATTAGATATTGAGATGATTTTCGCGATGCTAACCACTTCTAAGTCTCATCGCTGCTATACTTGTGTAGAAGTTTCATGAAGAGACCAAAGGATTTATTGATGTGTATAATCGTAGATATCATTTAAGAAAAAAAAGTCTAATAGCACGAATCCTATTAGGTTTCTTCTGGACGCACAGAAAATTTCTTAGAGATATTCACTTTGAAAGCGGATGCTTTTTTCCGATAGATCGATGATGAATTGTAAATCTTAGGGGAATTCTTTTATGAAAAAAAAACCTCATATCTAGGCTAGCTACAGTTGTATGAACTAGAACCTTTATAATTAGTTTGATTGCATTTTCAGCTAGCTGTAGTTTCATATCATGGCTTGGGTTTGAATTTGACGAGGAGATTATTTAACATATAGTTGCAAACAGTTGCAATATCCTTTGACGGAACAGGAATCCTTTGAAAAGAGTTTTTCTTCGTGCTGTTCGACTGGTAACTAGATTAGGATTTTATTGACACGATTTGATTTTATGAGTAACAAATTGGATTCTTTTGTCGGCGCCAATGTAAAATTAATGAGGTTGTAAAGAACAAAGATAACTAATATATTCCGTAGTCTACATGATGAAAGTTTACAATTAAAAGAAAAGAAAGCAGACTGCAAGTCAACGAAGCTATTTGTTGCTATTAATGACTATCGAAAAACAAAATGAAACAGAGTTTTTTATATATTGAATACTCGAAGAGAGTTATCCGCAAGGATCATGATATTCTTTGCGTACGAAAACGACGCAATAGTGCGTCTCTTCAAGGTAGCTCATTATAAACCAGATATTCCTGTTGAAAACTTCAAGCATATTAAACAATCTGGAACATTAATAATGCATTATTTTCATCGAGACCTGTATTTTTTGCCACGTTTCAAAAGGAAAATTAATTGTCCTGAGTAATAAGAAAGGTATTTATGCTGAATCATGTCGTTAAAATAAAGTATATATGCAATAATAATCGAAGAAAATATTTTATCAGGAATTACATCATTTTCTGAGTCATCTGATATAATTGTCAATCAGAGAAGTCAGATGATTCAATGTTAAAGAAATGCATTTCAACCGTACAACACAAACATTTGTTAATGTACGAGATCACGAACTATTTACTTTAGATCAAAATGTTTTACTAAGTGTAAAATTCCGGTTGTGAATCTATCAATAAATCTGTGATGTGAGAAATTGATCAGCGAACTATTGTTGTACTGAACTTGAATAAAGACTCCATCTCTTATAATTTCAATATCACCATAAATGTTGTTTAGTGGACTATTTAGTTATTAAAATTCAATGAAAAATGTTAAATATAGAATAGGCTGCATAATCTTAAATATTATGATTAAAGCTTTCTCTATAGATTTGTTTTCTTTCACAAACAAGATTGCTTTGCCCGCTAAGACACACTCTATCGGTTCGATTTTCTATTTGCTCAGATCGAAATGACATAAGAAACGTGCCCAGTATTTATTTAAAAATGCAATGTTACTCGAAAGAAGATGCCAAACATTGTATCAATCAATCAAGTCAATGGAGATTGCCATTTTCAAATTTATCGTGTAATCCTCTATCAAACTATGTCGCTACACTCAATGCAAACAAGTATTGATATGAACGTGGCAATTTTGTCTGATAATATGTCAAATAACATTTGAAGAAGAGAAATAAACCTGTGCTAAATAGAAAAAAAATAACAAGAATAAAAGCTATTTTTTATTAGTCAATTTACTTTGACGAATACAGAAAAAAAAAATCTTTCTCAGCATTGAGTTGTGTTTCCTGTAGCGAACGAGGGACCGTGGTGCATTGAAAGTGGTAGAACGAACATCTGTTACTGTAATTAGTTTAAACACAAATTTGGAACTGAATACTTATTTACGTATGACGATAAGAAACAAAACTAAATATGATCTCTGTCAGATATTGCAGCCTATCGGGGAATACTAATCTCTAAATTCCTTCTTTTTGCCAGTCCATTATGAAAAAAAAACCTTTCTCTCCCTCAGATGAAGTAAGAAAATTTCTTTTTTTTTCGATTTTCTCTATTTTTTTTCGATTAAAGTTGTTTTACGTTTAGAGGAAAAACAGCATTAAAAAACTGTAAATATTGATTTTCGAACACTTTGGTTTGTATCCCTTGAAAAAGTAACATAAAAATAAATCATAAAGCGCAGAAAAGTGTAAAGTTTATTAAAGAAAAAAGTGGAGTGAAGAACAGGCGTTGATTCATCTACAATCATAGTGTTCTTTTTTTCTGTCTCTAATGGAATCTGTAGATGGCGACTTGAAAATGAATGAGTGAAAAGAATTCATTTGTTTATTTCGATCTGAAAAGAACAGGATTCCATGACTTCATTCGAGTGGATGTCCAATGCATCGATGAAAAAAAGAGAACTGTTCAATTCTACTGTCGTCGCCATTTTTAATCAAGAAATTCACAAATGGTTTTTTTTTCTCAACTCATTAATAAATAAAAATCTTTAGATTTTTGTATCACATACTTATCATTATAATAATGTCATCGTCAATCTATGAAATATTTCACTATGCGCCACCGACTGTGAATCAATGTCCATCAATAGATTCAAATGGCAATTCATCTTATTTTAGTGCATCTCTAAATTCATTGCAACCATTTGTACCATGTCAGTTGCATAATATAACAGAGAATTATACCAATCACGTACAACTTGTCGATAGTAATTATTTAATGCGGGCACCAACACATTTCGATTGTTATATTTTATTATTTTTTGCTCGTTGGTGTCATTTCTCGGTACGTTTTGCACCCTCTTTTAATGCAATACCACGTTCATTTCCTGGTCTTGACTTTGTTGCTTATGATGTCTCAAAATCACTTCGGTATATTTAAATTTTAAATAATATTTTTCCAAAAATATATTATTTTGTTTTTAGTTATATGACATATTTTGGTACGAATGCTGTACCAAGCGTATTCATATTGAGAAAAAATAAATTATTAGCAAGATTGAATAGCACGAGTGATATAGAAATATTATTATCGCTGATTGAATCAACATTACGTAAGAAAATTTTATGCAACACAGAAAGGAGAAATTTTTTGTTGTGTTTTTTCAATTGAAACTTTAGATCTAAATAAAACAAGTAATTTAACGATAGAAGATGATGATCGGCTAGGACCTGTTACAACTTTATTTGAACCATCGTTTGATTACGCATTACTTTTTTCGTGGCTATTCGTAGGTTTATTTATTTATTATTATGCTGAGAAATATAATCTTATAACGATTATTCGGTATAGATTTTCTCGTCAAAATTGATTTTCTATGTGGTGTTGCTGTTTTTTGTCTTAAGTCAGTTGTTTATGTTTTCTTTACATTTTCTAGATAAAATGTAATTGTGGCCGACTGAAAAAATGCTTTCAATTGCAGTTTAAAAGAATTGGTAGTAATACTTGAAATAAAAATATTCTTTCAATGATTTATTTTCTTTTATAGAGCAATTGATTTTTTTTTCTAGTAAGAAAATGTTGATACTTTTTTACTGTTAGACTGCGAAATGAATAGATTATTATGTAATGTCTGCTAACAACTGACTCGAGTGTTTATTTTTGTACTAAAAGTTCTCTCTATACACCATACGATAACAACTTCGAGAAATAAACATATCTCTGCTACTGTTTATCAACGTTATCATAATTATTTGCAAGATAGTTTTTGTATTATTTTTTCTTCTTCTTTTAACGTCAGATGGACTAGATTTTAGCTCCGTATCTATATCTAAATATTGAAATATTTATATCTTTTTCAGTTGATAATAGTATATTTACATCGATACGATACGATAAACTGTCTTTTTATTTCGTATGTAAATAGATAATAAATAAGATCAAAACGATCTGTGTCTTCCTTTTGTTTTTTCTTTTCTATTCAGCCGATTTTCTATGTCTATTAAGACACTGTGATGACTATTGCATTCAACCTGTCAGTTTCTTTTCTCATTTGAGCACGATAATGCACTTGTCGTTGTCATTTTTCTTTAGCATTTGTTTTAACGTCCTTGACGATGATTTTCTTTTCTGCTTTTTTTTTCTTCGCCTGCTCTTGTTTACAAGATAAAAGAAGCGACGTATCGGGACGATGTACTTTGCTCTATTTTTTTCAAAGGTTTGAATCCAGAGTTAAAACTTTTCGGCAAGTATTATCCATCGAATAATGAAGAAAACGCTTGCGGAAGTTGAGATAGAGTACTTGATGAAACGAGATAACTTACAAAAATGGAAAATAGATCGTGCGTGCTATTAGTCGAATTATACTATTTACCAATGAAATCTTCTCATTCATATTAACTATCGTAAAATATAGAAGTTATTATTGTATTATTGACGTTTATAGATTATTGAATTCTAATGGGTAAGGGAAGTAAAAATTGGGATCCTTCATCGGTCGTCAATGACCAACAAGAAGAACCATCGATGCGGATGACAACAACAAGCGATATTATAAATAATAATGATAAAAGACAATTTACATGGGAAGAAATTAGTCGTCATTCAACTAACAAAGATCGTTGGCTTGTTATTGCAAATCGAGTTTATGATGTTACGAAATGGACGAAACACCCAGGCGGACAAATGGTTCTCAAACACTATGCCGGACAAGATGCTACTGTAAGACTTTTTATAGAACCAGTTCAATGAATTAATGATTCGTCTTGTTGTTTTAGGAAGCATTTCATTCTCTCCATCCTGAAATATATCGTGTTGAAAAATATATGAAAACGTTTTATATTGGCGATGTAAGCAAAGGCACTGTTGCCGATGATCAAGCATTGAAAGATGATTTCGAAAAGTTACGACAAAAGGCTATAGCAAAAGTAAACTAATGTTTAGTTTTTCTTTCGTATTGAATCAAAAAATAATCTTCTATTTCTATTAGAAACTATTCGAACCAAGTGTACTATTTTTCATTATAACATGCATACATATATTGGCTTGTGAATTCGCATCCTATTTTGTCCTATTTCGATTTGGTATAAGTTGGGTACCATATTTAATTTCACTCGCTCTCTACATCGTTGCTGAAGTAAATATAAAACTTTTTATGATTCGGTTTTTTTCTTCAAGTTTCCGTTTAGGCACAATGTGGTTGGGTTCAACATGATTTTGGACACTTATCTGTATTTAAAAAAAGCTCATGGAATCATTTATTACATCAATTTTTTATTGGCTTCACAAAGGTTTGTGATTTTCGCATGAGAAAAGAAGCAAATCATAAAATTCTTTTTCACACAGGGAGCTAGTGCCGATTGGTGGAATAATATGCATTTTCAACATCATTCCAAACCAAATATTATTGATAAAGATCCAGATACACGTATTGAACCCGTATTTGTACTTGGCGATACAATTCCGATACGAGTATATAGAATTTGTTTTTACTCAATATTTATTCTATACAATATTGCGTTATTTATTTTTAGACTGCTAAAAACAATGCTAAATATGGAAAACGTCTCTCGTATGATCTTCAACATTTATATTTCTTTATCGGTAAAAAAAGATCTAAGGTTGACATTTTTAGCAAAAATATTTTTTTTAGCTGCACCACTTTTATTTCCCGTCTATTTTCAATTTATGACCATAAGACATGCCATAAAGCGAAAGAAATGGATGGTAAGATGATAGGAGAATTTTTGTTTTATTCTTATTTACTAATTAATTAAATTGTATTCCGTAGGATCTTGCATGGTTAACATTGTATTATGTTAAATTCTTTGCCCTAATGCCATTAAAACTTGGTTTCTTCGGCGCATTAAAATTTCATTTCTTTCTTCGGTAAGTTTAATTATCATAATTAAATCTAATCGTTTTCTTTTATTTTTTTAGCGTATTTGAGGGCACTTGGTTTGGTACGTGGAACTTTTGTTTTACTTTGTATTTATCTATTCAATACTTATTTATGTTAATTTAGTCGTGGTTACCCAATCGAATCATGTCGTTATGGATGTATCGGAGGATGATACAAAATTGAGCTGGTTTAGAATGCAATTAAAAGCAACTTGTAATATTGACGACTCATATTTCAATGATTGGTTTACAGGGCATTTAAATTTTCAAATTGAACATCAGTATGTTGTTCTATAGAAATTACTAATAGTTAAAAAACAAAAGATTGATTTTAGTTTATTTCCGATGATGCCTCGTCATAATCTTTATAAAATACAACCGGATGTACTCGAATTATGTCGAAAATATAATATTCAATATCTTAGTAAACCAATGGGACGCGCATTTCTTGATATATTAACGTGAGTAAACGAATTTGTTTAGTAAAAAAGATTAAAATTTCAATTGATTTTTCAGTTCATTGGAAAAATCTGGTCGAATGTGGCGTGAAACTTATGAAGAATTAATGGATGCGTCGAATACAATAAAATCTAATACATGAACATAAATAATTTCTTTTTCTCTTAAGCAAAACAAAAAGTATATTGTCATAATAGATTACGCGCGATTTTTGATGGATTTGTTTTTTCTTCTTCTTCTTCTCCTTCTTTTTCTTCTTCTTCTTCTGCTTCTTTTCTTTTTATCATTGATGCATGTTGACAAAATTGACTAGAACAAATAAATCGACTTGAAAAGATGGGTTTTATTAAAACGAAAATTTTTTGTTCACATGGCATTTAATGATGATTACAATATATGTAGTTTATCATCAATATTGGTTAAACGAAAAGAAAAACATATGCATTTACAAATATAAAAAAAAAACATAAACACACAAATGGAAAACATTGAAAAATTTAGTCGATTTCATAGTGCTAATTTTGATCTTGAGCTATTTGAGTTATCAAAATGCGAGACGAACTAAATATGCCTTTTACCTAAAAAATATAATAGCTTTATGAGAAACGAAAAGTTATCTTCATTATCAGATGGAGAGAATCTTGACATACCTTATTATATTTTTTTAACCATCCTTCATGTGCTTTTGAAATTGATTTTGGCTTTCCAAAAATGTAAATATATTTCACTTGTGTAAGATCATGTAAATGTGGAATAAGTGTTGGAGCAAGTGTTGTTGAAATAATTACAAATAACATTTCTTGTTTAACATTATTGTTATTATTCATTTTGCCTATTTGTTTAATATATCTTTCACACGAGTCAACGCGATCAAACAATCGAACGTAGTTCATAAGGTTTTTTAATTTAACTTCCATATCGATATTTGATGATCGTCGATAAATATCAGTGTCAAGCCAAACAAGAGATAAATTTTCTGCATTCAATGCTGATCTATCTATTAGTATATCTTGATGAATACATGTTGGAATAGATGTAATATCTTTTCTCGATTGTTTAGTTTGTATAGATCCATTGAATTCTGATGGAAACGATGGCAAATCTTCATTACGAGTTTGTGACAAACCGCCATGTTCAAAGTCATATTTACCGTTTTTCGATCCCATTTTGTTCAAGGAGAATGTTGATGACGATTTCAACTTCTTTTCTTTTTTCTGCTTTTATATATTTTTCTTTTGAGGCTGATTTTCGTTCTGTTACTTTTGTTGACTTAAGTCACGCATACATTATATGAGAATCGAACTCAATCATACTTACGGTCGAACATAAAAGGAATATAAAAAGAAAAGAAAAAAATTGATCTTTTATTTAATTTTTCTTTTTTACTTGAACTGTCAATATGAAACCGAAAAGAATCCTTCATTTCTGTATTGATGCTATCGTAGAAATCAAAATTTTTATGATGGTAAATGTAAATGATTTATTTGACAACTATGACGATGGTAATCGTAGCATAGCAATCTGTTGATGAATAAAATTCTTCTATGATTTGCGCAGTATTTTATATCAACACTAGATTTTACTTTTGTAACTAAGTATGCTTGAAAGAAAACGATTCTTTTGAATATTCATGACGATGATGATGATGATGATAAAGTGTGAAAGAATGTATCTAGTGAACATACTTCATCGTTTTTTGAAGACATTTATAATCCGGGAAAGTAAAAATTATAAAATTTAAGCTGTATTAGTATGGGTTGAACTATTGACCGTTTTTTTACTTTCTCTCTTGACAAAATGAATATATAAGTTTTCAGTCTATGAAAAAACAAATCAACGAAAATGACGTATGAATAGTCATGATTTAGTTCTGATTGTTTAAAAGAGTTTATTTTATGAACAAGGTCTTCTATCATGAATTCATGTAACAAAAGAAAATTGTTCTTTTTCCTATTCACACTTTATCAAATTTTATTTGCGAACAAGTCACAGATCTAAACGACCGAGAATTTGCGGAAAGAATTTCTTGTGATATATATATATATAGATTTAAGATAGTTTCTACATTTCTTTCTGCTTAATTTCAGCTAGATGCAATGCCGCTGCGCTCTCTCTCTCTCTCTCTTGTCGGTAGTCGAAAACAATTTTTTTTCTCCATTTCAATTGTGTGCAAGAAAAACAGAACAATAAAAAAGTAATTTACAACGACTGGGAAAGGTGTAAAAAATCTTTGTTTTGAAACTTTTTTCAATACTCTTATTCAATATAATTCTTTCCTATCGTCTCCATAAATCAGGTCAAATTTCTTTTGGATGATGTTTTAGAGATATTACTCTTCAAAAATAAATAAAAATGAGATGGTTACTTAAAACAATATAAAATATTTTACTATAAACTTTAGTTCTGATCTATAGATCATTGATCAACTCATTGTGTGCTTTTCTTGTTTTCTTTTTCATTAGAGATGCTAGTAAGACAAGAAAAAATTTATTTCTGATGAATAGTAAACTTTGCTTCAAATATGATGGAGTGAAAAATGTCAATATTATCGCCTTGGATTTTGATTAGAGTCCAAGTAAATTTATATGTGATAGAAACTAGTGGTTTCGAATTCCGGTTATTGGCTTCTATTGCCTACAATTTACTACGGTAAATCGTCGGTTTTGACGAATATCGATATGAATCGCTATAAATGAACTGGTATTAGCAACATGGGTTCATTTTTGATCTCATATCTATATGGCAGCAGCCTATGAAGTTTATCATAATCTGTGTGCGAGAAAGGAACATACATTTAGATTCTACCCATTATCCCTGAGCACATCTTTGAGATTATAGCTCACAAAATCAATAATAATTAATCACATATATGCATTCTTTCTACAATATCTTCAAAGATAATCGCCTTTGTTGATTACCGAACAATATTCTCTAAAATTGTATTTAATCGAATTCAAAAATAAATTCATTTCTTAACAATTGTAGAGTTCTGTTCAGGTGTTTTTGGCCATCTGCTGACATAAATCATAGATCAATAGAGATTCTTTCGGTATGACTCTATAAAATGCTCCATATAGTTTTGATTTAATTCCATCCCAGCTAGAAGCTTTAGGGCAGTAGAGACGAATATTTTAAAATCATTTCTTATTGCAATAGGCAAAAACCAGCCTGCTTATATTTATTCATATCTAAGATAGAAAAAAAACATGCGGTATTAATAAGGGCCGCCTTTTATTGCCACATAAGTGATAAACCTCCTACCAACAACCGCTGAAATATAAATAATAATAAAGTTGTGTTAAGAAAAGAAAAACATGAAAGTTCAAACAAATCATGAATAATACAATCATTAATAGAATGGATATGATATATACATATAGAAATGATTATTAAAACCGTTTTTCTCTGATGTAAAATATTTCACATTTACTCGCTTGATAACGAATAAATTCGAAAGGCCTAGCGTTAAAATAAACGTATTGTCCCATTATTATTTCTTTTCCTTTCTTGAAATTTGTTTTTCTTATTATCTCTATCATTTTCTTCTGTTTTTCTTTCTTTCTCGCTTTTCTTTTATTACTAATTATCAATAATAAAACGCAATAATAAATATTTTTAAAACAATAAAAAGATTCAGTATATTTACATATCTGCTTATCTTTAATAATATAACTCAATCAATTTTCTGTTGGCTTGACAAATTCAAAAAATTGCAATCATTTTATGTTCGAACTACAATTGATGCACATAAGTTTATGATCTAATTGAACATTTTAAAATGATTTTACTTCTTATCACTTTGTTGGTGATTTTGTGAAACACGATCTGAAAGGAGTGTTGAAGTATACAAGGTAGATATTCGGGGGGGGGGGGGGGGGGGGGGGGGGGGGGGGGGGGGGGGGGGGGGGGGGGGGGGGGGGGGGGGGGGGGGGGGGGGGGGGGG